TTTCTGGTCACAATTATCCCTCTTTGGGGTAAGTCAGGAGCCTTCGACTGAGTATGGGACTTTCACGACTGACTGGTCCCCTTTCGTTGAATAGTCATGTGTCCCAAGAACAGCGCCAAAGATGTGTTCGCGACCTTTGCCGACAATGGGGGTTGGGGAAACGTTGGGACCGCATGTCTTGTTTCGCAAGTCGCCATCTTATACTGTAACTTGGGTAAGCATGTCCTCTATGAAATGAACCTTCGTTCAACCCTGATAACCTCCTGTAGGGTCAGACAGCGCATGCCATATCTCAGAGGAGGTCGCCGATGCCTCGCTGAACGTTCCACGATCAATGTGGTGGAGTTACTTGTTGAACCTCTTCATGGGAATCATAACGTTGATTACGATGCTGTTCTGCATCGGACCACTTGACGAGGCGATCAACGCCGAGACACCTTACCTACAACTCTTCCTCAACACGGGCTCGAATGCCGTGGCCTATGTGCTGTGCATTCTGCTGCTGGTGCTCATCTTCAGTGGCGACATCACTGCGCTGGCGACGACCAGCCGCGAGGTCTTTGCGTTCTCACGAGACCGCGGATTTCCATTCTCACAGTGGCTCAGCAAGATTGAACGCAAGCGAAACATTCCGTTCAACGCAGTATACGCGACCTCTTTCTGGTCCGCGGTGCTGTGCGTCATCAACATCGGCTCCACCACTGCGTAAGTAGCCTCTCTTCTCACGACCTCGGATGGTGGAGAGACTCTGTCATTATTTCCTCAGAGATACCAGGCGAAGCTAACGAATACCGGCCAGGTTCAACATCATCATCTCTCTCACCCTGCTGGCTCTGCTCAGCACATATATGGTTTCAATCGGGTGTGTCTGTCTCAAGCGGATACGCGGAGAGACGCTGCCAGCGGCACGATGGAGTCTGGGACGCTATGGGCTGGCCATCAACATGTTCGCTTTCCTGTATTGCGGCTTTGCCATTGTCTTCTGCTGTTTCCCGTCGACCTTGCCGGTGGACACGAGCACGGCGAATTGGGCGCCGGCAGTGTGGGCAGGAGTGATCTTGCTCAGCGTGATATCTTATTTCCTTCATGGAAAACGGCACTTTACACCTCCGGTCGTTTTCGTAGAGGGAAAAAGGACGGGGGGGCTTCAGGCCACCGAATGATTCGTGGACTAACGAGCCTTACCACAAAAGTGTCGGTTAACCGCGAACCATCAATGGATGAAACCACCACTGGTTCCACTCATGCGGTAGCTCTGCTCACAGGGAATAGAGATCTCTCGGGCCATCTGTAGTGTTGTAGACCAGTTCTCATTTTTCAGGGTCAGCCTCGTCTGATACAAAGCCAGCAAATATCCAGCCAGAGATCAGACAGCTAGAACCGGAAAAGAGAGAGGGAGTTACACTTGTCAATCGGCTCCCTCGAATGCTTCCGGATCTCAACTTTCTAGACCTCTCCCTCCGCTGATCCTGTCCTTCCGAAGTGACCAATCGGCCAAAAGAATATTGGGAGGGGCTTGTCCTCCATGAGCTGATGCCCAGAGGATTGTACCGTGGCGAAAGAACGGCCGGTCTGGAGTCAGTCGATCACATGCTCCTTGCCTCGCCTCATTCTCGGCTGTCTTGGCGTCCGCCCTCGTTAGCGAAGGTTATTCCGTCCGCTCACAGGGAAAAATGGGTGTGGAAGCCCTCTCCTGCATGAATGTGAAAACGGAGGACGAGTCAGACTGTGGAGAGACGAAGAGTGTCTGGCGGAGTCTCTCCAATGCGGGATCGGCGCCAAGAAGCCAAGGCGCCAAGAGTCTCGGCAGCTGAAGTCTTCTTTCCTCCGCCTTTGAGCTTGAAGACGCTTTACTATTTCTTGATCCGACGATGGTGACAGGGACTGGCCCAGCCATTTGACCAAAATGTCTCGGTGAGGCAGCCCGATCCATGTCCAGAGAAGCCCGGGCACTGTGAAATCATGTCGTGCTTCGGCGGCTCTCTCCACCCCCGATCACTCTAGACGCCATCTCCCAGCATTGAGACACCTCTTCTTTGTCTTCCTCAGACACTTGTTTCCTAATGGTACCCGAGTTTGGCCACATCATGCAAAAAAAAACTCACATCCAGTCAAGGTGGGAGACTAGCCTCGACACATGATTTCGTCACATGCCCAATCAGGCGAAGTGGCCAGCCCAAATCGACCTGCCTGACCTGCTTGGTTGGAAAAGGTTTCGTGTTGAGCCTCGTATCAGTTGGGGTCCAGACTTGGGGTCCACAAACCCTGGCCAATACAGTCCAACCACTGGAGTCAAGCCTCAAAACTACTCGTACCTGGGCTTGCTTGTCGTCGCCTAACTGTCCAGCAGTGACAACGCAAAAGGAAGAATCCGCAGGAGGCCTCAACTTCGTCTCCGTGCCAGACAGCCAGTTGCACAAAAGCCTGATCCCGGGCGTTGGTCTTGGATGCTGGCAACCCCCCCCCCCCCCCTCCACAGCGGTCCGAGTTCAGCGCAAGGGTCTGCTTGGATCCGGCTGTGAAAGTGGGAAGTGTCTTGGGATGAAGAGTAAGTATATCGAACACAGCCGCCGTAGGGCCGCATGTTCCTCTTTTCATCTCGGTATCCCTCACTTTCTTGAAGTTCCTTCACGTAGGACAGGGCGTTGCCCTCTAGCTTGGAGTTACTGATCCCAGCATCGAACACCGTCGACAGCAATGATGTGGTTGGGGACGGCTTCTTCCTTATGCCTGCTTGCCTTGCCCCTCGTGGCTCTTGCGCAATCAGTAGTCTACACTACCGACACAAACGGCTATGCGTACACTACAACCATCTACCCTTCAGAGAGCAGTTATGATGCAACAACCACAACTTCCTCCTCTGATTCAACCCCGACCAGCGTTCTGGCCATCCAGACTGTACCATATACAGGCCAGGCCCTGCTCATCGGAACGTATGTTGACATATCCGAGTAATTGGACTGCCGGTATTGATCTCATTTGACCAGATGCAATGTCGCTCGATTTACCCTCCTGAGATTCCCTGACGGCGGCACGGTCGAAGTCCCACTCGTGGGCTGTTCCGATGACCGGCCAGAATGCTGCCCTTCGTTGAACTTTACACATGTTGAGCCAGAAGACACAAGTTCTTCTCCGTCGGCCACGGAGTCGAACGATGAAGACGACGGACATGAATCTACCACATCCTGGACAGGCACAACTCCCAGTCCGACTCCCACGGGGATTGTCTCAATGCTGAGCAACGCTCCTCTCACCATTTGTCCAAGGTATCATCACTCTCCAGAGCTCCAGGGTGCAAAGATGTGATCTGATTTCTGACCGCAGTGATATGGTTGACATCGACCCGGTCTGCTGGTGAGTCTCAGGCTTTTGCCCTTCTATTTATTCATCGCTTGGTATGAACTGACCGAATTTACCAGTCCGATTGGCTTCACCACATACGGCCAGAGCATTATTGGTAACCTCCCCTGTGTGAGCACTCTCACCACGACAATCTCGCCCGGTTCGGATGTGCTGGCATCCATAACCTCGATGGTATCAGCTTCTCTAGTCGCAGAATCGGCAACGACGACCCCGACTGTGAATGTCATTGTGAATCAGTAAGCCCAGCCTCGTTGCTTTCCTTTTCAAGAACCCGACATGGCCGTATTGAAGCTAACTCTACTTGCCAGAGTGTGGGCCCTGGGCCTTCCCTGCGCGGACGACGAAGAAGGCGAAGAGGAAGAAGATCACACCCATCTCAGCACGGGCGCCAAAATCGGGATTGGGGTGGGCGTTGGTGTGGCTGGTCTTCTCATCATCGGCTTCCTCTGGGCTTGCCTCGCCGTCCGCCATCGCCGACGGGCAAAGATGCGGAAACTCGAAGCCGCCAACACCGCAGCTGGCGGACCAATTCGCCCCGAGTCCGGGGCTTATGTGGCGGCACAAGAGAATCCTAAACACATGTCGGTGGCAACGTCAATGGGAAGTCCAAACATGATGCAGCAACAGCAGCAGCAGCCGCCGTATGGCTCGCCCACGCACGGATTCAGCCCGGCATTCGGGTACACAGTGCCGCAGGCCCAGCCGCCGCAGATGATGCAGGTCCACGACGCCTATGGCCATCCGTACGGCATCCAGGCCGTCGGCCCAGGATATCCGCCGATGGGGTACCCGCAGAGCCAATCACCACCGCCCCCCTTTTACCCCTCAGGAGGCAGTTACGGTCATCAAGGGCAATACAAAGAGGCGCCCGCCGAGGTCGCGGGGGATGACGTCCGGCATATCTCGCCTCGTCGTGAAAGCATGGGGTTGTCGGCCAGTGACACGCGCAGCCAGGTCACATCGACCACCGCGGTGGGCAGTTCGCAAGCAGGCGTCGAGCCGAAACCGCCCGCGGAGCTGAGTTCGCAGGGCAATCAGGTGTAAAGTAGCCACCAAGGGAAAGGAGGAGAGAGGTAAGGAGAAGTGGGAACAGAAGGGAAAAGGCAAGGCTGGTCATCTAAGCCTTGTCAAAGTCTTCGACCACATCCCGCACTTTTTACAACCCTGTAAGTCCAAGGTAATGTCAGGCGCTTTTCATGGATCGAACCGGGATCGGGCTTTTTTCTCGCTCTTTGCTCACGAATGGGGGATATGTGTGTGGAGGTGCGGATGATATGCTAGCTGGGCAGCCAGCGTGTGTAACTACTTGTCCATGGTGGACGAGTAAGCTTAATGTCCAAGCATTTGGCGCACGACGTGTGTAATATACAGGTGCTCTCTTGTTGGATCAAATGTTCTTCTTTTCTTTTCCTTGCGATGCTGTGCGTACAAGAGGCTCAGGGGGTCCCGGGGCAACAGTCGTGTCGGCAATGTAAGGCGTCGCGGTGCACCTGACGCCTTCGACCAGCATGGTGGCTACCCTGGCGTTTCGAGGAGCCTTCCGTCCTGTTCTCGAGAGGACCTCCCCGCTTCTCTTCCCTTTTGAAACCCTCGCCCTGGGACATTTGGACATGATCCATTCCGAACACAGAACCAACATGTCACTGCTCCTCGATTCCGAGAACCGGTACATACCGACTCTCCTCGCCCTGTATCAGGCTGCACACGCACCTGGGGCGCAGGATGCCGAAGCCCTCTCATTCTGGCAGCATCTCTTTTCAAAGCATGTCTTCAAGGAAGAGTATTTCATCTGCGACGCCGAAATGAGACCAGCCCCAGGGGATCGTCGGCGCATCGATCGCAGTGTCCGCTACTTGTCCACTGGAAACGAGATCATCGTGCTTTGCTGGCACGAAGCAAAGGGCGGCTCGACTCCTAGTGCAATCATGGAATGCGAAAGCCAGGCTTTGGACGCGTGCAAGAGAGCTATCATTAGCCACCCATGGCAGCCCATGATTTACGCATTCACGACAACAAAGACGTCAGGGAAGGCCTAGGAGTACCATCGATATGCAGAAGACATGTCTCATTTGTTCCACGAGCATTATATCGACGCAAACTCGAGCGAAGGGTACAGGCTCCGGAAATGCTTCGACCGAATGAAAGGATTTCCCCCTCTTATCCCAGCAGAAGCCCCCAATTCGAGCATTCCAAGTAAGCCTAATTCGGTCCTGACATTGGTCGATCCTGCAGAAGTCCCGACGCAGTTTCCTCATACCACCGCGCCGGTCCTATCCAGCAACCCTCTCCTTCCACGCGTCGAGACTTGCCCCGACCCACGAACTCAGGCAGGCAGCACCTTGAGCACTTCATCGTTGAACATGGATGACTTCACCGAAGTCACGGCGAGGCGAACCCCCGCAAATCCGAAGGCTTTGATCTACCAGACGGCAGATGGATGGAAGGCAATGGGACCGTTTGGTGTGGGCAAGCGCGATGGGGACGACATCTTCTACTCCTGGGAGAAGCGGCTCTGGACATATGTCAAAGATGTGCAGTAGTTTGAATTCCGTACTGTGCTGGGGGCACACGGAAGAAGAGTGGCAACATGAGACGTGATTGGCTGCGGAGGACAGGGCAGCGAGGGCTGAGACCTCTGCACAGAGTATTTCGACGGTCGTGGTGTCACATTCGCCCTCGGTCATACACGCATTCATTCATCCATGACGCGCAGCTTATCATCATCGACTCGTTCATGGTTCAATCGGACAGTTCAGACAAGAGAAGACAGAGAATTCATGCAATAATTCTACCCTCGTTTAGCTCGAACCTTTCGATCATGCATGGCCTACGGCTAGGCCTTCACGAGGCATTCGTCCTATCCAACCTTGTGCTATACGCACACAACCGCTGAGTCGATCCCTTCTTGCTCTCTCTGATATCTACACATCGCTTGTAGTAAAACTCAGCCTTTTCTCGAACCAATACAGTACACAGGCCCACGCACTGGATCCGGTTCAAGGGTCGTCACCTAAAATACGAATTTCGTTACCATTTGGGCCAGACCACCATGCGATCTTCCCTTTCGTAGGAAACCTACACCACCCCTGGGCCTCCTCCTTTGTGCCGCAGGGTCTTGAGGGGCCGCGAATCACGACGTAGTGTGATCTTTCAAATTCAATATTGAGAAATGAACAACTCTGCATCTCCATCTGCTCAGTCGTGTGTCGATCAAAACGAAACTGACCTAGCGCTTCACGGCTGCCGTCCGAGTACGTAAGCAGAGCTCCGAGGCATGCATCGCCCACGTCGACTATGCAAACTTCAAGCATTATGTTTGCCCCCAGGGTGGCCTTACTGAGACACCAGTCTCCGTTCGGAGGGCCCCAGATAGGGCGGGGAACAGGTAGACCGGGGGAAGTGTTCCAACCGAGCCGTCGGTCACAACAAGTTGATGAGAATATTCCAATCTCGGCGAAGGCAGAAGTGGGGTTATAGACCGAGGAATGGAATAAGCCACAGATCGAGCCATTGTTATCCGCGTGTAAGGCTTCGTATAAGAAAAGATTCTCCTGTTGCGGCTGTGGCCCGAGGGAATATGCCCTATCAAATGTCGTTGCGATCTAGAGGCTATTTTAGTGATTTCCTGGTAGCAAGAGTTGGAGGTATACCTGGATGACTGGGTGGGTCAGAGGGAATCGAGGCCAATCGATCCAACGGACACCGATAGTGCGTATAGTCTCCTGAAAATGTAAAGGAAAATAGAGAAAATTCAACATCGAGCTTGGAAAAAGTGCCCCCACTGTGGCCGTGAATGTCTGGTAGGCATGCCGAGGAAGATTTCGTTGGTGGCAGAAAATGCCAACCGTCCTTGAATGGTAAACGGCCGTAGAAATACCGGAAATGTTCCTGAGATCGTGAAACTCATATCGACGAAGAGAACTGCTTTCCAACAAGGGCATTGAAAATTGAAAGGCAGTCCCTTGATTTGGGGACGGTAATACATTCCATTCGATGACAGTGGGAGATTCGGCATCGATGATATTCCGGAGAAAAAGGCCCTGTTATTATTAGTGGAGACTTGAAGGGCAAGCCTGCATACTCACATCAGAAAATGCAGAAAGCTTCACAGTTTGAGTGCCGACCTTTCGGAGCGGGACCGTATGGAAAAATATGCCTGCTTCGTGATGGTGAATCTGCTGACTACTACAGTAGAGACCACGGATGCCGAAGTGGTCCCTGCAGATAATCAGCGTATCTTGAAGCTGAAGCACTTGACTCTGGCTAGGCACACGGTCAATAACATCCAAGCCCGTTAGATAATCACGACCCCCGAATCTGCTGAATGACATATATAGCGTCGTCCCAGGCTTGACTTGAAAGCTGACCCAGCGAGGCGGAGAGTACATCTTGTGAATTGCAGCCACCGACGTAGCATGGTATAAGGCGATATATTCTGCAAAATGACCAAGGTAGGAGCAGATCTCGTCAATGACTTCAGACGGAAGTTTCTCGAAAAAAGGGAAAGGATACCATTTCCGAAAGGCTTCGGTCATATGGCTCGACTGATCAATCGAGGGCGGTGTCAACGGTCTGGCAGCAACGAGAGATATGAGTAGGTCGTCGAAAGACGGTGTCCCATTGGCATCTTGGAGCGATGTAAGGTGATCTCTGACTGTATTGACACAGTCAGAATGAAGCGGGACTTTTTGGCGACGCTCTTGTTGGTAGCATATCGGACAAATAAGCGGCCTGGGTGGTGGCCACTTTGATACAGCTGTAGGTGTTAGATCTGTCCTTGAGGCCAAAGTTCCTCGACTTACCAGCATCCCTCAAGGGATAGTGGCAGAGTAGACACTGGAATCGTCGATCAGGGCAGCTGCATAACGTGACTGAGGCCATTGAAAGCGCACTGAATCTGGTGTTCTTTCATCTCTGAGGGAGAGAAATGAGGTGGTATAGGGTGCGAGGAAGGGGGCAGGGAGTACGAGGCGAGGAGGTACAGGTGAGTGACACGTGAGCGACACGTGAGCCAGATGGAGAAACTACGCGTTCACACTTCCTGCATTTCAGCCTCGCACATGTCCAATGCCGGTATGTTCAGAAGTCATGGTTTGCCGCAGAAAAAAAGACAGGGATTTTATGGGTGGATTTTCAATAGTTATTCAGAATTTCGTATACGCAGACCACGTTGGTCTACCGGCCGGCGGGAGTGTTAGTATCGGTCGCTGTGCTGTCCAATGTAAAGCTAGTTGTGACCCTGCATTTCCCGGCTTGACCACTAACTGTTGCCCATGGACTGTTCTCATTAAACACGTCAAAGCTTCGCAAGAGGCCCCAAGAGTCATGCATTAGGACTCTTCTGGCCTCCGCCGCACCAACACCGTTGTTCCCCATCTCTCTCCACCTGAACAACGACATCCATTTTCCTCTGCCGTAGATACATCGAAACCCGCTCTCTGACATCCTCTAAATCTGCATGCTGTGAGGCAATGATGTGGATAACACCCAAGACCGTGGGATCGGAGTTTTCGCCGTCACACTTCTTCCCATCACTGTCTTTATGTGAGTGAGAATGCGAATGTGAATGGTCGTCGTGTGTATGGGAATGACCATGGTGATGGTGATGACCGGGCTCTTTCTTGATGTCTTCGAGCCAGAATTTCGGCACCGTGTAACCTACCACACCGCGGATTTCGGCCACACCACTGAGGATGTCTCGAAGGTTGTATTCAATGTCAGAGTTTAGTGACAACAGGAGGGTTTTTGTCGTTGTGGTGACAAGCGGGATGGTGGACGCAAAGATGAGAACGGCAATGATACATGATGCGAGGGGATCAAACCCGCTCCAGCCGGTCCAGCGGACTAGAAGGGTCGATCCCACAACTGCCAGAGAGCCGAGTGCATCGGCCATGATGTGGAGATAAATGCCTTGCATGTTTTCTCCACCATGGTGGTGGTCACTCGCTGCCCCTTGTTTGCCTTTCATCGGTGAAGCGGAGGCGATCATAGGAGCTCCGACAATTTCATGGTGGCTATGATCATGTTTATCATCATGATCGTGGTCATGATCATGATGACCGTGGCCATGGCTATGGCTATGACTTCCATGATCGTGCCCGTGTCCGTGCCCATGCCCATGCCCATGATCGTGAGCACCATGAAAAGCAAAAATGCCCACCAGATTCACAAACAAACCGATCGTGCTGACCACAAGAAGCTCCGCAGTTCGACTGACATCAGCACCAGAGAATAGCCGTTCAATCGCCTCATAGACGATCTCGATACTTATTAGCATCAAGAAAATACCATTGCCTAGCCCTGCAAGGGTATCAATCTTTCCGTACCCGTACGGAAATTTGAGACTGGGAGGCCACTTGCTCATGACAGCAGCGCACACCCCGACCAGCAAGGCCACACAGTCGAAGAACATGTGGATACTGTCACTAATCAAGCCCAGGGATCCCGTCAGAACGCCATATGTGGACTGGACCAACATAAAGCAGAGGTTCAATATCATGAAATAGAATATTCGCCGGGACTCGTCGTCCTCCAGTATCCCATGTAGTAATGAGTAGCTTTCAGTCGAGTGGAGGAGGAACTGGGTGGGTTTGGAGAAATTTCTTTGAAAAATCGGCCGCCTGGTTGCGCCAGGTGATGAATAGGCAATCTTTTCTGTATCCCTTCTCTTTGGCAGAAACTGCGAACCCGTGGAATCTTGGGACGGGGCAGGGCTGACCTGTCGATGCTCGTAAAAATGGGTGTTCACAGGGGGCAACCGGTTGACGCTCATGGCAGCTTCATTCTGCTCTGCGATGGAGTCAGAGGGGATTCGTGTCAAGGGGAAGGGGGCCGTGAGGCGGCTGCCCGTTCGACTTCGTTGATGGGAGCGTGCATTCAAGCTCGGGTTTGAATGTAGAGGAGAGTGGGAGTGGGAGTGAGAGTGGGAAGGACCATGAGGATGCCCATGCTTGCAGTTATCGGTGGCAGCAACAGGCAGGGTGAAGGTGGCGCTCATGGTCCTCTCAGATGGTCCTGAAGGTTGGGAGGACACTTTGGTGTTTGGTGAACATCCGCCCTCGTTGTGGCCGCTCCCAAAAAAGGCTCGACGAAGATGGTGCCACCAACGTTGCTGTGTTCACAAGGCAGCAAGGGATTGTTGACGCGACTGTAGGCGCAGGCGGGGGTTGAGAGAAGAATGGTCTGGGGAAAGAGATTACAAGGATAGCTCGCTATACATTTCTCGTCTAGTCTGCTGCCCCTGGCCAACGATGTCAGTGGGCAGCAGTAGCAATAGTAGCAGCAACATATTTCAAGGGGTAACAAACTCTGAAGGGTGGTGGAGAGGCCACGAGAGGCGTATCCCCATCCCGCTGCACCTCTGCATCTCGCGCATCTCGGCATGCAACTTCGCTCGTATCCATGATTGGCTTCCCTTCCCCTTTTTTGGGACTCTTCGAGCCTCTTCCCGCCCCTACCAACCTCGAGTCTAAACCGCTTCCATCTATCTGACCACCCTGGACAATCTGACTGGTCGACGTCATTCTTCTTTCACCTCTTCGGTGATTCTCTGCAAGACAAGCATCGCAAGAAGCAGCGACACCTTCCCAAGAGGATGCTATTGACAGTATTGGTGGCTATCTCCACCATTTTTACCGTTCTGCTACTCCTGCTCCCCTCCCCAGGACATACTGCGGATCAACAATGTTCGGTCCAAGTTGTGGTGCTGGGCGATCTGGGCCGCAGTCCCCGGATGCAATATCATGCTTTGAGTATCGCAACCCACGGTGGCCGTGTTCAACTTGTTGGTTACAGAGGTGAGGAGTATAACTGCTCGAGACAGCCAGTTTGGGCACCAGTCTAATAGAGTGTGTCCAGAGACTGATCCATTACCCGAGCTGGTTGCGCATCCGGCGGTCACAGTGATCCCGTTAACACCTGCTCCTCGGTGGCTTCAAACTGGCAACAAGCTCCTGTTTCTTCTATTTGGCCCACTGAAAGTCCTTCTGCAGACTTGGACGCTTTGGAACACTTTAAGCTACGCCACTGCTCCTTCTAAATGGATGCTTGTGCAGGTATACCTTTCCTCCTCATTGTTGCTGACTGGTGCTAATGAATCGTTTGTAGAATCCGCCCTCTATCCCTACTTTACTGGTTGTGACTGCTGTGTGTTTCTTTCGGCGGACTCGGCTCGTCGTCGACTGGCATAATTTTGGGTATTCCATCCTAGCTCTAAAGCTCGGCGCCGATCACCCTCTGGTTGCCATCTCCAAATTGTACGAAACCGGCCTGGCGAAGGTTGCGACTGCAAACTTTTCCGTCACGGACGCCATGGCTCGAGTTTTGAAATCGGATTACAAAATCACTGCTCCCATCTTGACTTTGCATGACCGACCAGCAGACTTGTATCAGCCTTTGACAGCTCCCAAACGGATAGCCTTCTTGCAGCGTTACCCACTCATCCGAGAACATTTCAATGCAATTGTAGACGCAAAGGCAAGGTTGATCGTCTCTTCAACCTCATGGACTGCTGACGAAGACTTCGGTCTTCTCCTGGATGCTCTCTGTGCCTACTCTGCCAGCGCCACCTCTTCCCATCCACACCTCCCAGAACTTGTCGTTGTTATCACCGGGAAAGGACCTCAACAGCAACGTTATCTCGACAAAATTCGGGAGTTGCGGTCCGCACAAGTTCTGGAAATGGTGAGCATCTATACCGACTGGCTTAGCTTCGAAGACTACGCTCTTCTATTGGGATCTGCGGATCTCGGTGTGTCCCTGCATACCAGCAGCAGCGGGGTTGACCTGCCCATGAAGGTGGTCGACATGTTTGGCGCGGGACTTCCTGTGGCGGGCTGGAGCAGCTTTGCTGCGTGGTCGGAGCTAGTGACGGAGAATGTCAATGGCAAAGGCTTCGGCAGCTCAGAAGAACTGGCAGATATTCTCCAGGACTTGTTTGATCCCAAATCACAACAACTTACGACACTAAAGGATGGAGCTGTGAGGGAGAGTCAACGGCGATGGGGTTCTGAGTGGGATCCAGTCGCTGGGAAGGTCTTCGGTCTAGCAACCTGATCTCAACCTCCACCGAGATGAGACATGTCAGCCCTCGATGTTACGAAACTCTCAAGGCTGAGAAGCCTGCGAAGCCTGCGTTCGGGGGCACATCTCAGAATACATTGGGCCTCGAATCTAAGTCATTACAGAGCCACCTCGTACTGATCTTTGTCCTATGGTCCAGAGCCGTCTTGACATGCAATGCTCGAACGCAACATCTTCGACCCTCTTTGCCTGTTTGTTGAAGCTTCTACATGCCGAGCGGGATGCGTCATGGAGCACAATCGGCAGCTGGTTCTACTGCAACGTGTGAAGAGCCAAGCCTGTCGGCGCACACCATCAAGAGAAGACCCAAAGTTGAAAAGCCGATGCCATAACTCTTGGTAGGCTCCCTACTCTGAGGAAGCTATGTGATTGTTCAGACGGCGGCGGAGATCAGCACGACAGTCTAGCCGCCTTCTCAAGCAACCCTATCAAAGACGGCAATTAGCCGACATATCCGGATGGGCCATGAAGCCAAGACACCAACGCGAATGGTACAAGGCGTTACGAACGGATGCACGCATTTATGCCCAGATTGATCATTAAACTCAGGAGATTATACCGTTGGTCCCGCACGGGCTGTCAGATATGGCCCTCTTCTGCTCCTGCTCTGCATTGCCAAGGGCACGGAGGAGTCCACCTTGATCCTTTATGATAATAAGTCGTCGTCAGCCTGCTGCATAAAGGAAGACCCAGGCCTTTCGGGATTCTTGGTGGCGCGATACATTCTGTCAATGCGGGAAATCTTTCGAAGCGTGTGGTCAACATATCCTCGCAGAGAGGGATTAGCTTACTTTGAACCCATCTGTCAAACGCCACCTGGTGCCACGGAGTCTGGTACTACATCATGACGGATCTCACTGTGGTAAGTTTCTGGAGAAACGATTTGGCGAAAACGCCAGGCATCCCTCTATATCTTGGCCGTGAAGTTCTGTCCTCCGGTCCTTGTTGCCTTGTTATAGTTGCAGCCTCTCGTCTTCTCGTTCGGCACCAGTCTTGAAGAACAGAAAGTACTCTGCTGATGGCGTCAATCCTTCAGCACGCACGGCGAGTAGCATGGGACAGCCACAAGCGTGAGGGTCACATGAGCCGTGGAATCAGAAAGCTATCGCGATCGGCTCCATTGTCTCTGTTCATTGAAGCATTGGAAGCAGATGGCTGTGTGATAGTCAAGGACTTTACCGATGAAGCTACGCTTGAGAAAGCGGACTCGGAGGTCCACCCGTGGCTTGATCAGCAAGCCAACGGGGTGAAAGTTGGCGGCAAGTTCTCTCACTTGTGTGAAACTTTCCACTCTGCCATTATACTGACTGGCTTCAAGCGCTTCAAGGCAAAACAAGAACGGTGACCAGGCTCGTCGGGAAAAGCGCAACTGTAAGGGAGCAGTTCTTTGCCGATCCACTCTACCAAGATTTGTGCGAACATTTTCTGGCACTTGAGACGACCCATTACTACGGTAACAAGCCCGTTACGACGACGAGCCACCCGCTTCTGTCTATCGCAATTGCATTTGATATCCCTCCTGGCACTCCTGCGCAAAATCTCCACCGCGATGACAAGAATCATCATGCTCGCCATAGTCATGCCGACAAATACACGAAGGGACGCGACATGCTATTAGGCCTGTTTGTTCCAGGGTGCGATACCACCAAGGCCAATGGTGCCACAAGGGTTGTTCCTGGCAGCCATCTGTGGGGCGACGATATGCCCGATTTCGGGGCCGATGGTACCCGTGGAGTTGTTGACGCAGAGATGCGCATGGGAGAAGCATTCATTATGCTGGGAAGTCTCTATCACGGAGGTGGAGCGTATGAGAAGCCGTTGGGGACAGCAAAAGAGGGCGCCAAAGAGAGCAGAACGGTCTATGCCATGTTCTCATGCACCGGCGTGCATCGGCAGGAAGAGGTATCATTTCTGTCGTATTCAATCGACGAAGTCAAAACATACTCGAAGATTGTGCAAGAACGACTAGGCTGGAAGCAAAGCGAGCCGAATCTAGGCTGGGTCGACTTGAAGAGTCCGGAATTCCTCCTGGCGCAGTGATCTATGCCAAGTGTGCGTTCTCATCAGTCATCAAGACTTGGAGCAAGCACGGTACAGCTGAATCTGAAATCGCCGCTGCCTGCCTCCTCTTCACGTTTGAGGAATGGGAATGGCCCCAAGCTGAGCGCTTTGTCGCTCAGGACATCTTCATCTTCCTCAAGTACGCCCAGATCGACCGGCCCTTTTCTTCTGCCTTCCAACTCCCACAGATGTCCGTCCTTTCCCTTGACGAATGCAATGAAAGCATGACCAGGATCTTCTCCTAGTGGTGGCGCGGTGCTATCTCCCGACTGGGCAGCTGCGGCGTGAGCAATCTCTAGCATTTCTGAGTCGTGGAGGAACTGAGCTCGCTCGGCGGGCTTGAGGGGAGTTGTGTCTTTGATCAATTTGTCGAGGTCACTCCCTTCCTGGATGAAGTCGGCTGCGGTCCCGTTGGTGGTGCAATGGAGGAGACCAATGAGGCCACAGGCGTGGTGGATTGTTTGGCGGTAAAACATGACGGGTTCTCCGGGCCCTGAGCCATCGTAGCCAGCTTCGGCCTCATTAGACTTGTTGTAGTAGGCTTCGGCGGTTGCTGAGGTTGGGTAGGTGAACAAGAGAGCACTGGCTGGTCGAGGTAAAAATGCCACCAAGTCGGGGTCAGTCAGGCTGTAGGCGTCGTGGAACGAGAATGCTGAAGATAGTCCAAGTCGATGGGCCAGCCTGGTCATGACTTCTGGGTTATTTTCTGTAAATACAAGAGGGGCGTGGATCAGCATGTTTCTCCCGCAAACTCAGGGTTGGGACTGAGTTTACCTAGTGGAATGAAAGTCTTTTGAGCAGACATCGTGGTGTTATAGGTAGATCACAGAGAACTCTCTTCTTTCCATTCATCGACTAGGCTTGGAGGGAGGGTAGAAACAAAGGTGAAGTTCAGTTCAGCATAAACTCCCGATATTCAATGCATAAGGCAGCCTCGCATGACGTACCCGGGGCGATGGACATACCAAGGCTGAAGTTGGATGGAGTGCCTGGACGCGGAGAAATTGGCTCTACGATGACTTTATCGCGTCACACCATGCTCGATGTTCTTGCTTCCCAATTGCGTGACAGTGACCACGTCCTTGACTGATATATCTCCTTCGTGAAATTGACGACAAGACAAGCTTATGCTCGAGCATGCGGTCCCAACAATAACACTTTCTTCCTAACGTTGGTCCTATGCGTGCCACCCTGCCTGGGCGACCTCAATCTAAGCGACAGGCCCTTTGCACCGCGCAGTGGTGCGGCCTGCGTCTGGTCGTGAGTTGGCTCCCACTCCGTCATTATCAGTTGCAATCTTGACAAAGGCACTAGGCATATATCTCCGGCAATGCTGCCGTCATTCTCAGCGGCCCTCAGACTATCCTCCAGACCATCTACGTCGACACGGTTGATTCGCTCACGGCGATAACCCTCGAAGAGACTACCGGCCGGATAGCCCTTTGCGATGAACGCCATGTCTATATCTACAGACCCGTTGGCCACGAGGAGGGTGTGTTGAAATGGACTCTGGTCTACGAGTTGGACAATCCTGCTGAACTGCGGGTGGAATCTTTGTCCTGGGGATCTTCTCAAGAACTTCTACTGGGTGGTTCCAGGCTGGTGCTGTGGTTCATACCTGAGTCTGGCTCCCCGATCATCGTTTGGAACCAGCCACTGGCATATCCCACAGCACTCGCATACCTCTCTCCCGACAGCAGCTTCATAGCCTCCGTGGGCCAATATGACCGGCTCGTCAAGATATGGAGACGGCTTTCGTATGAAGTTGACGGCACCAGATTTGATGTCTCCTATCTACCACATCCGGCGGCGGTCACAAATCTGCACTGGCGCAAACCATGGCATCAGGAACAGAACTTGGACAACCTGCTCTATACCTTTTGCTCCGACAATCACGTCCGCGCCTGGACCACTTTCGACCCCCACGCCTTGACCGTACTACAATTGGTGGGCGATATCAACATGAACTCCTCGATCCAGCCACGGAGGCTGAGTGCAAGTTCCATCAGCACGAAACGATATGCCTTTATCATCGACAGCCGTGACTTTTCGACGGCCACAGAAAAGGCTGTCCAGAACTCAATCGCCAAAACCGCCGACCATGCTCTCGAGCATCTCATCGAGATTGCCAATCGGAGTCCAGAAATCTGCGTCGTTCTCGATGGACTAGGTCATATGTCTGTGTGGGGGTTGGAAAATGCTGGGTACAAGAACAGAATACTCTCTTCTGTATTTCACATCTCTCACGTCGATGGCATGAATATCCATGTTCCACAGCTGAGCGACCCATTGGAAGACTATGTACAATTCTGCATCTTTGCCGGTGGCAGGACTGCATCGTCGGTGTCAATTCTCCTTCATTCTTTTGCAGGTGATATTGACTGGTACGACAGTCAGATCACGCATCTGTTCGACACAGCCGTGAGACAAGACAGGACTGAACTGATTTCTACCCTGGCGGGACATGGTGCGCCAGTCATGCGGATTGTTCGAAATGTGGTTGGTAATGTTGTGTTATCCAGTACAGACGACGGTAACACCAGCATTTGGCAGCACGAAGGAAAACTATCAAGTGCTCCCCTGCTGCGGCGGAGCTCGTTTAACGTCACCGTCGAAATCAAAGACGCCGTTATCTTGTCCCGCGGGAGATACGCAGCAATTCTGAGTCGCCACGGTCTCGAGCTGTGGGACATTCGCGAAGCAAAAGCTAAACGACTTGGAGTTTGGGAATCTGAAGGGAACCGCTTGCCGATGCGCATTACACAAAGTCGAATCGCGAGCGAACGAGAACTCACCAGTCGAGTTATTGTGGGTTACCATGCAGACGGGACTGTGGAGGCCTGGGAGCTGCTTCTTCCAGCAAATGAATCAGGCGCAACAAATGGTTATCGCGAGATGATACGATCATTAGGGGACGTTAGTCTACACGTCCACAATCGATACAACTCCCTGATCTCCGTTTGTGACAATATGAGCACGAACAATCGACCCACTGATCCGCGCGAGATCAACGCCCTCGGCTTCGCCGCAGCACTTGCCAAAGAAGGAACCCTGGAGATGGTCAGGTCCCAGGAAGAGACAGATTCCACAAAGCCACATCTCTTCTCCGGTGCTTTGATCGAGACTAATATTCGCCAACCCCAGGCGATCAGCGCAAGCGGCTACGGCAAGATTGTGGTGGTCAACGACGACAGTACGAGCCTCAGCATATGGGACGCCAAAACCGGTTCGTGGGAGTATGAACATGAGCTCGATGGAACCGACACAATTCATTCATTCGCATGGGCTGTCTCACCACAGGGCTTAGCTTTGGTTGCAGTCTGCTTTGACTACCACATTGTCATTCTAGGTCAGGTCCGATATGCTTACCGAGAGCGTGAGTCGGCATGGGTAGATTTGCGGCACATCAGAATAAGAGACTTTACCACCCACTCAATTGGGGATTTGTGCTGGCTAAAAAGCGGTGATCTCGTTGTGGGAGCTGGCATCCAGCTTTTCGTCTTCGAGGGATACGCTAGCAGTCATCACAACCAGTCCGCCAGGCCTCTTCGAGATGTGCGAGCAAAGATGCGGGCCAACGAAACTTTCGCCATGATGGCATTGTTGAACACCTTGGTCCCTGTCTTCCATCCCACGTTTCTTACCCTCCTAACATGCATCGAAGGGTTGAAAGCAACGAGGGACGTATTATATCATCTGCATCGGGATCTCAAGTACTTCACTGAGGAGGATGAGCTGTCCAGCCTGCTTAATATTGAACCCGACAGGATTACAAGTGCACCCAGCTCAACCCAAACGGTCGACAAACCATACTATACCACGAACGGTGATCTGAACGGGGACACAGAGAATCTGCCGGTCTCAGATTATGCAGAAGGTCTAGAAGGCAATTTGCAACGATATAGATTGTGGCAACTCACCAACAAGGAACAATCCGAAATAGTGAAACAGGTCGAGGTTGTCTCCGAATTAGAGAAACACGAGGAGTCGGTCGATGCTAATGGTCAGCGCTATCTTCACGCGCTGTACACGTGCGGCGATGAAGGCGTCTCATGGAGTGCCATTGCATTCGCGTCGTTGAGCACATCCCAAGAGATTCTTGTTGACTTGGTCACCCGCCTGTACGGTGGCAAACTCACCTGGGATGCTGCGCGCAAGTCAGGACTGTTTTGTTGGCTCTCCGATGTGGAAGCTCTTCGACAGCAAATGGAGAATGTTGGTCGAACCGAGTTTACAAAGAACGAAGACCGCAACCCAGTGGATTGTTCACTGTATTATCTTGCCCTTCGCAAGAAATCCGTCCTATTGGGACTGTGGAGAATGTCCATCGGTGTGAGAGAAAAAGAGAATACCATGAAGCTGTTGGCGAACAACTTTGACGATCCGAGATGGAAGGCCAGTGCGTTGAAGAACGCGTATGCTTTGCTTAGCAGACGGCGCTTTCACTACGCGGCTGCCTTCTTCTTGCTAGGGGACAGTCCCTGGGACGCGATCAATGTCTGCATACATCAACTACAAGATTTGCAGCTCGCCATTGCTATTGCGAGGGTCTACGAGAGCGAAAGCAACAAGCAACCCTCCACTCTAGCACGGTTAATGGAACAGACCGTTCTGCCCTTGGCTATTAGTAGCGAGCAAGGACGGTGGATGGCAAGTTGGGCGTACGCGGCAATCCTTGATCACAAGGATATGGCCATTCAGGTCTTGGTGCACCCTGTGCATAAAATTGTGGGCAAACCATTGCTAGACGGATACGAGGGGGAAGGGATGGTGGGATCACTCAACTACGCCGCAAACGACCCTCTTCTGACACTGTTGTACACCCAACTTCGCGCGCAACTGGTGAAGCGCAACGAATGGCGCAGAAAGGTCATCAGCGCAAGAGATGAGTGGGGTTTCGTCATGCGCTGTGTGAGGCAGTATATCCATATGGGATGCGACGTTCTTGCCCTGTCCCTCGTCCGGGACTGGGAGTTTGTCCCCGAAACCCCTGACCGAACGGTCGTACCGGATGAAGTTCCACGGCCGCCCAGTCCGGGCATCCAGCGGCGCAAGACGTTCTACGATCTCGAAAAGGAGGAAGACGAGGAGAATCTGCCCCTGGCCGGGAAAGCGAAGGAGCAGACCAAGAAGAAGCCGCCGCCGCCGCCGACCATGTTTGAGGAACCGAGCGCCGACAGTCTTCTGGACAGTTTTGGGTTTTGATTCTCATGTGATCGTGATTCTGATTCTGAGCGACGGGAATCACAAAGAATTTTGTTTTAGTATTTGTTTTAAGAGACTTTGGCCACGAAATTCCTATCGTCTTGTTCTTGTTGTCCATCCACCCCGTCCACCTCCCCGTCCACTGTCTGATTATTCGGGTTGATCCGGTGGGAAGAATAGAGTCAAGAGAAGCGTATAATTGTCATATTTGTTATATATTGCATCAGATCAATGGCTTCCTCGTCAAGCTCGCCACGACGTGACGATGGAAGGATAGTTAGATGGTCAGGAGATTTTCAATTCGTTATACACATTTTCAGAAATGGAGGTTGAGATGGGTTTGAGAACACTATGTACCGTGTATTCGTGGTGGGTTGTGGTTGTACTTCTGTGTGGTAGAAGGAGGCCTGGTGTCTGGTGTCTGGTAGGTCTGGAAGATTTGGTACCAAGGGCCCATTGTAGTGGTAGAGAGAGTAGTAGTATACCATGAGGAGTGTATTTGTCCCTATCTGACCATCTACGGACAAGCATACCTGCCCGTGTGTCTATCTGTCTGCCTAGCCATCTATCTATCTATCTATCCTGTGTCCTCGAGGTCGTGTGGATGGATATACAGACATAGGATGGAGGAACATGGGTGACTATGAAAGGAAACCGGATGGTTGAGGGAACCCACAGCTGCGCGCTTGTCCGTCGGTAAGAAGAGGGGGGAGTGGTGGTTGGGAGAGATTACAATGAGAGGGACGACAACAACAACAACAACAACAACAACAACAACAACAACAACAACAACAACAACAACAACAACAACAACAACAACAACGGTACTGGCGACGACGAGGCCGGGCAGGCGGTGAAAAGCCCATTCACACGGCAAGTTTCTCCGGATCGTCGCCCTGGTCCTCGATGGCCCTCTCGTCCCGGTCGATCTGGTCGACCAACATCTCCTCGCGACGGAGGACGTCCTCGTCCAGATCGACCCAGCCAATCTCCCTCAAAATCGGGCCCGTCATGTGCAGGTACTTGAGGTGGCCGTCGACCCGGGCCGAGAGGTCAAAGTTCTCGACGCCGACGACGCCGTCAATGTCCTGCAGGCCCGCGACCGAGATCTGCGCGCTGCTGGTGCGGTACAGGAAGGCGAGGATGTAGTCCTGGCGGGAGTAGACGTTGACGAGGCGGCCGGCGACGACGGAGCGCATGGCGCGCCACTGCGCGGCGTCGGCGGGGACGGGCGCGCCCATGAGCACGACGTGGTCGACCAGGCCGAAGGCCCCGCGCTTGGCCAGCGTCAGCAGGCACGAGTAGACGACCCGCGCGCCTAGGGACTGTCCGATCAGCGAGACAGGCCGTTCCCCTTGTACGCGGTTGATGAGCGCGTCGGCCAGCACCTCGCCGGCCTTGACGGCGCGCATCTTGGCGATGCCAAACGGCGAGTCGACCAGCCTGATGGCCTTGCGGATTGCCAGCGGCGCCATAATCGCCGACCACACGGCCGCGAAGATGGTGCGCTTGATGAGCTCCCGCCGAATCTGCGACCATGCCTGGCTGACCACAAAGTCCTTCAGCGCGGACCCCAGGTTTAGCAGGGCTTGCAGCTCCCACCGCAGCGCGAACGGTTCGCCGCCCTCGCCCAGCACGCGCCAGGGCAAGGTGACCTGTTCTTCCTCGGTCAGCCAGCCGGAGATGCCGACCGTGATCCGCAGCCGACGCCGCTGTTTTTGGACTTCTTCCGCGTCATCCTCTCGGCCATTGATGGGGAGGAAGGCAAAGTCGTCGATCTCCTTCGAGTACTTGTCCATTGCCTGGCTGGTCATTCTCGCCCCGTAGGCGCCGAACAGGCCACCCACAAGCACCGAGCTCCCGGCCAGCGCGCCAGATACCCTGCTGCGGCGGTGGCCCCAAGCCCCAACCCGCCCATGAGTGTGCCCACCCCAGCCGCCAGGAGAGGCGCAGCGAGCCCGCCAGTGATTCCAATCAGTGCGGCCCCAGCCACGCCGGCAACCCCGATCTTCCACTTCCTCGCCGTAGACGATGCCTGTTGAGCCTTCTGAGTGGATTCGCTGGCATCCATCTTCGCCGCAGCGGTCAAAAGGCCATACGCCGTATCTTTCTCCATCTTGGACACTTCTCCGACATTGACGCCAAGGGACATGGCGAGACGTACAAGGAGGACGCGAGAATGGGCACGGTAGGCTTCGAGACTTAGCAGGAGGAGGAGGATTGCCTTGATTATTGTGGAGCGTTCGGCTTGGCTCAGATTTGCCAGCGGGGTCTGTACTGGTTGAAACATTTTGGACAGCTTGCCGTTGGCTTCCAGTTCAAGATTGGACGGCTGGTACTGTTGCTGAGCGGCCTCGGTGGCAAGTCTGCGAGCTTGTTCATGATTCTTGTTCTGCACGGCTTCGTCGCGAGAATTGACCACCTCGCCGACGCGTAGGATAACGCTCTCAGCCCAGATATCGAAAAACGCCAGAGCCGCACCCTTCAACGCTTTGGATTCAGGAGTGGGCGTCGTCAGTAGGGTATCTTGCGTTTCTGCTTCGACGCCACGAGGCTCGTCCTCATCAGCAGGGGTTTCCGGACTCTCCGAAGCCCCTCGAGACTGTTCATCAAGCTGCTCACCCTGCTGCGCCGACAAGCTCAACTTCGAGACCTCGGCTGCGGCCTTGTCTGGTTCAGCTTCTCCCACTCCCGTAGGGTCCGCTTTCGGTTTAGGTTTCGGCCGCTCATCAAATACTCGCACAAGACTCCTCCGCATCTCCTCGATGGTCTGAGAGATGAGGAGTGTCAAGTCTGCACGCTCTTCGCGCGTGAGGAGTGTCCCCAACGACTGGTCATCCTCTGCTTTCCGTTGGTGATCGCCACCACTCTGGGGACGGCCGAAGCCCCCCGGCCGCTGCTGGGGGATGGCGGCATTGACCCTGTTTTTGAGAGACGAGAGTGAAGGCATCCTCTCTGGTCTGCGGTCTCTTAAGAGGTATTTCGTGGTTGATTTAGTACCGTCTTGGGCGTGAAATTGAACGATGAGAAAAGCTTCGTCATGCTACAGGGATTGATTAAGATGCTCTGTTATATGAGGCTGATGAGGTCAAGAGTACCCGAGTAAGTACTTGGACTTCTAAGCTGACAAGCTGTGACGTGTGCCAAGAGCTTCACAGCCTTGTCGGTGCAGGTCATTGTGACGAGGCTGCATGACATGTGAAGCTACTACGAAGACGCTCCTTGTGGTTAAAGATGTATTTTGTGGGTTTTGTTCTCCCGGTAAAATCATCCAGATTCCGAGTTCCAGTGTGTTGGTGAATACAAAACCCCGTAGATACCCTCCAAATCACGGCATTTGACATGGCCGAACCTCTCAAAAGATCTCAAAGACAAGCCTTTATACTTCCCACAGCCTCTATACCATTTGTTCTCGGTCATTCTTCTTCACTGACCTCACTCTCATCATCTTGTATGGTTCCATTCGCCATCCCGATGCCCAAGCCAATACCCCTATCTTCGTTCTCGTCCTCTTCTTCCAAAGCAGCCTCCAGTGCAGCCTCGAGGAGATCTTCATCGTCGTCATCGTGGGAAACGATTGGTTCAGGGGGTGTTGGCGGGGCTTGGTCAATCTGCGGTTGCTGTTGGTGTGGTCGATGACCTCGACTTCGACCGCCATCGTCCTCATCCGAGTCATCCGAATCACCATCTTGTGCCATCGAAACGTCACCTCTATTTGGCACGGCAACACTTTTCTCCCTTGGGCTGCCTAGCTCGAATTCTTCGACATCTTCATCTTCGTCCGCAGAAGAGGCAGCTTCGACATCTTTCATTGTCATGTCCCTATCTCTATCTCTATCTCTGCCAGGGCGACCCCTAGCAGGCTCCTCCACAGGCCGTTTGGGATCCGGCCTTGAAGAGGACCGGCCAACATTCGAACTGAGGCCACCAATTGGTGTTGCGGTATGACTGCGAAACATCTCTGGGTCCACTCTCCCGCGTCGGAAGCGGCCGTTGTCCGGAGGGGGGCTACCCATGTCGATTTCCAAGTCGCCATCGTCGTCGTTGATGATGATATGGGGTGAGCTGCCGATATTGCCTGAGACATTCCGAGCGTGGCCTTTTCCAGTCTTTGGCTGATTTGGTCTGGTCGCGGCTGCATTCGCTGGCTTAGAAGCAGCTTCATTGTCTTCGTCAGAGTCGGAAATGCGGGCTTTGCTGAGTGGTTGGGTAGACTTAGGAACGTCTCGCTTAGTGGACGCCTTGGCAGCTGGGGCACGACCAGCCCCTCGGGAGACGTCTTCGGGCTTTTTCTTTCGCTGTTGAGATGCTTTGGCGGCAGCCGGCACGGAGGTTGGTCGGGACTGCGGTGTAGTAGGTAAGAATCTGTTTCCGGGAAGAGCAGGCGTGGATGTCCCACTCAGTGGAGTTCGGCTGCCTGGAATAGGCGTACGGTTGCCCGGTACGTTTGATGACTTTTCGAAAGTTTCGCGTGCTTCGGCCAGGAAATTTCGGAAGTCGTAAGGGTTGGAAGGATCTGGGGTCTCGTCATCCGAAGGCGACGCTGGAGGGGCTTTTGCTGCTGACTGTTTTGTCGACGTCTGAGGCTGGCCGGATAGTTGTGGGAGTGCCCGAACGTCTGTGGACGACATGCCCGGCGCCGCCTTCAGGTTCATGTCCAGGGACGCCGAGATGGCTTCCAGGACGAAGGCAGACTTTGCCTGGTCGAAAACGAGAGCCAGAGACCTCGACTGATCTTCAGGCGCTCCTGATTGTTCCGCAAGCGATCTGCCAACATACTGGTACTCGGCGGATCCACTGTTAGATACGTCGAGGTGGTATCGCTCACCAGTCTTTCTCAGGCGACTTTCTCGAGTCTCAAAGCCGGATTTGGGTTGCCAGTTGTATCGAATGTTCAGAAACATATCCTGTGCTTTTGCATCGGTCTTGAGACTGTCGCCAAGAATGATGGGATAGTCTCCCGACTGCCGGGGATCCACCAAGCCTGAAGACTTGCTCGGATGGATGGCAGGCGATGCCATGGTGCTATTTACCAAGTCACGGTCCTGATGGAGAGTAGAAATGCCAAAAACGTCGGGAGTGGAAACTCAGGCCGGGGGCATGAAACAAGGCTAAAAGAGGCGCATAGATCAGCATGAGAATTGTCAGAGATGGCGAGCGAGCGACGACTGTGGGGTAGGTGACATCTCACGAACAGAGAGTTACTGGGAGATTCGGAGCGAGTCCATCGCTGGAAGATAACAAGGACGGGACATGGGAAAGTGAGGAGTGAGTTGCTGATGACATAAAGGAACAAGGGAAGATAAACCAGGAACAAAGAAGTTGATCTTGATCCAGTTAAAGGACGCGGCTCGGCGGTTCTTCCGGCTCCGCTTCGGCTAAATTTCCCCGAGTTAAAAATACTTCGACCCGCACACATTTTGGGAGAGCACATGCTTGTCCTCAGCCTCGTCCATATACAACAGCAATTGAATTTGCGAGAGAGCTTTCTGGATTCTTCCAAAGACACAAACAGTACTTGAGAATAGTAGGCAGAATCATCCTACCTACGTCTGGCCCTTTAATCGGTGAAACCCAGATACTGGTAAGCCAGACATATCAATACCACCGATAAGCCCGTTCTGGTTCTATCAGAAATCACCCACCCGAAAACTAACAAGAGGTTCCGTCCTTTGGCACACATCTGTCCGTCCCACCCGCAGATCTGCCATATGCAGACAAACCTGATCTAAAACCGACCCAGAACCGCATACTATTCTTTGAAATCTGGTTGTCCTGCACGCCTTGCCAATGGTCTCGCGAATATCACGAATCAATCATTTTTCGTCATCATTGTCATCGTCATCATCACATTGTCTCGTCGTCTTCTCCGCCGAAACCCGGTCAAGATGTGCCTGCAATTCACCAATCAATCTTCTCAGCATAGAAGCCGCGCCACGACTCAGTGGCTTCAAAAACACTCTGGTCTCGTCGTCCTTTGATCCTGCCGAGTCGACCAACGAGTCATCTTGATTCGTTCGAGCCTCTTCAGATCTCTGTAACAGTAGGTTTCCTCGCTCAATGACGTTGCCAAGTAGGCATTTGCTCGGATCCGACATAACATGCGGCAGATATAACCAAGCGAGTATGTCTTCCAGCCCACCCGGCGGGCGGAGCAAAGCGCTTTTCACAAATCGCCTAGACATGGCGAAGACCTTTTCACTGTACGAGTCCGATTCCCTTGCATATGCCTTGTCATGCTCATATCCTTCGAATCCTGCCTCGTTGTAAAAGGGTCTCTTCACCAGCACCAAGCCTTGCAAGGAGACGAGCACCTGAAGCAATGTTGCCTTGTTGCTCCATTTCTCGCTCTCGTTTTCCCCGGACCAGGTCCCCAACAGGCTCAAACAAACCTTGCCTTCTTCGTAAAGGTTCGGATTGATACGACCAAGTCCACCGGTCCAACTGTGGAAATGGGCCACGGGCGGCTCTTCCGGAAACTTGGCAGGTAATTGTAAGTCGATCAAGAACGGCGCATTTTCATAGGGCGTATCTCTCGGACCGATAATGAGGCAGCGCAAGAGATCCATTCGACTCTCATATGTGCGTACATAGATCTCACCTTCCGGGAGTGACATGGCCAATATCTGGTGTTCTTTGACGAGACGTTTGAGGCTTAGCTCTGGCGGTGCAGTATGAAGTCCGAACTGATCAGACGGAGGCAGCCGATCAAGCACAAGAAACTGCGCAGGCCGTTCCGATCCTGACACTTCCTCTAGTTGAAACAATAACGGTCGTGGCTCCGTTGTATCGCCTTGCTGCTCGCCACTGTCCACCCTTTCCCGATCTCTGTCTTTGCCGTGTAAGACTTCTTCGGCGTCCTCGAATGCCACGTCCTCGTCAGACACCCAATTCTCATCGCCGCTGTCATTGTCGAGACGTTCCCCGCCTTCGTACTCCACGGTTTGCGATATGGGCCGCGGAAAGTCTAGATTAAAGGTGGGGTCAACTCCACTCCAACCACTCAAAGAGCCTACGTCCACGGGACCGTCATCTGTCGAGAAATCGCCTGGCGATACCGACCGGCTGCTGAAAACTGTAAGAACCGAGTCGGCATCGACGAACACGTCTCGACAAGGCTCCGATGTTCCTAAACGAACCCTAACGAGGCCATCGAGTCCCAGCGCCACAACCTGGCCAATCCAGACAGATGGCGGGGACTCCGCTGGATTCGGATGTTGTTCTGTACTGGTTCTCGTTGCCAAAGGCGATGCCTGAGAATGCTCCAGCCGAATGCGTTTATTGGTGCCGGAACCTGGACCGTGCGAAGACGTCGAGCCTATCCTGGTGTGATCTGGCAGGGAGGATTCGGAAAGCACGTCATGTGCGAGTTTGAGCTGACCCGGAGCTGTAATGAAACAAATATCACCTCGTTGACTGAACAACGAGGGGAATGCCATGATTTCGAAGAGAGACACATCTTCAATCTCATCTCCTATGGCACCGAATCGAGAGCTCGGTGCTAGAACCAGGCTTGGTGCGAGAATTTCAATCTTAGGTTCTTTGAACCACCGCACACGAGCGACCTTCTCGATGGGATCAACTGACTGGACCACGCCCACAGCGGCAGGGAGCAAATCATGGGGCCGCTCAAAGAATGCCATCTCGTCGAAGTCTTTTGGTGCACCGCCTGCCTCCCCTTTCTGGTCAAGTGGTCTTTGCCGCATCCCTTCTCGTTTGAACACAATGTCCGTAGGGAGAATGTCAGCTTCGAAGAGGGCAAAGTCTGTCAGGGACGTTGAATTAACCGTGACGACGCTTCCGTCTTGCCACATGACAGTAGCAGACTGTTGCATGAAAACAATCTTATACTCATCCAGATTCCAATCACCAGATGCATGTTTGGTCACCCGGTGAAGCATGCCATGTGTGGACCCCTCGATCCCTTGATATTTTACCGCAGCTGCCGAAAGATCGCGGAACTTGACCCGCATGCCAACTTCCAGCTCCTGCCCTGAGTAAAGTTCTCGGAGATAGTGGGGTTCGGGAGGGAGTGCCTGAGCATGGGCAGATCCAGTTTCGATGCCGTGTTCGTTGTGACGAAAGGACTCGACAGGCATTCTGCCAGCGTCATAGATAATGACATCCTTCTTCGTGCGCATCTCTGGAAACCCACGGAAAGTCTGGATGTCCTTGTAGATAGATATCGTCTCCTCGGGCACCAACGCAGCGTAGGATGTGTCTCCTCGCCGAGTTTTGCCGGAGATCCAATCGACTGTGACCTCATGAGCTCGACAATCAAGGACGATGCCTTCAGAAGGGACCTTCGGATCGTAGGAGCCACATAACCATGTTGCGTTCCGCAGTTGAGGACGATCCACGATGACAAAGTCACCCCGTCGTGGGTGTGATACAGGAATAGTGTTTGGCCAGCCGTGAGTCGATGCCAGCATACCAGGCGGCAAGAGGCCGCCGAGCTCAGGAGATGTAATGAGAGGCATCTCACCGTGGGCTATAGGCATACGCAGGCCGACAGAATTGGAGATGACTGCGATGGAGAAGTCGGCCAGCATCACCACAGTGTCGTACTCGGCGTATTCCACCTCTCCAGGCCATTTGCGACGTATTATACAATCCTCTGGAATGACATCCTGTGCTCTTGTGACTTCTCTTGCAGGGACATCGTAAAGGAGGACGTGTGGATTGGGATGGGTGAAGTGCTCGGGTAAGGTTGACGGACACTCTTGCGTGCAGTTCCGCCACGGCGGGTAGTCACTCGGGAAGACAGGTTCAAGGATGTAAGTTTCCGAAATATTGACAACCGTACCCGTCAGGGGGCTTCCATCTTGCTTGACACTGTCGCCCAACTTGAAGGCTCGACTGACGAGGACAATGTCATCCACACCGACAAGGGAACACACTGCCGCGGCGTGAGCAAATTCGACGTAGACATATCCATTCGGGGGGACGGAAGTGGTGAGAAATTCGTCAAGGACATTAGCCGGGACATAGCCATGAGCTACAATCACGTCGCTTGTCGCGTAAAAGGCGGCAGGATCATTGGAAGTGGCGCGGACGAGACCGTAAATGGAGACATCTCGTTTGAGGGCGACATGGTCAGAAACAAAGAATGACCGCATCAGTCCTGAGGCCTTTGACAAGATCCGACAAGTTAACAGTCTACCAAGGTCAGTCGGATGAGTTTTTCAGAGGGATCAACGAAACGGTAGATCGTAGTCGGTTGTGGAAGACTACGAAGAGTGCGAGAGCGAGGCTGGCGGGGTGATGGATGTTTGTTCCCGAATAAGAAGGTGGCGCGTTGCATACGAGGCTGAACACGTGACACCTTCCCTTCCCCTGCGAATGCCCTGCCGTGCCTGCCCAGGTTGTTAAGCAGCAAACACTACTAAGGGTGAGATACAGAGAGGGCAGTGAATAACGAACTGATCCATGCTGTTAGTCGTTTGGGAATTTTCCATGAACGCTGGTTTCACTTTATACTTGGATGACATTTTTTGAACCGTAGCCTCCAGCGCAGTCCCCGTGGCAGACACTTGGAGGTGGCTTGTCTCTTTCTTACAACTCCTCTTCCGTTACTGCACTGCCTCACGGACGAGAGCCAATCTACTGTGCCTTCTCACTCCTCTTGCGCAAATACACCTCCAGTCCCTCCTGAACGACGAAAAAGGTGGAATGATACGCCAACGGCCGTCCAGGATGCACAAGGGTGACATCGTACTCCCTCAGGATCTGGATGAGGGTCTTATTCATCTCAAACAGCGCGAGATTACGACCAATACAGAGGTGGCTGCCGCCTCCGAACTGTGATCCAGGGAAAGAGAGGGAGTTAGCATCTAACTTGCCAAAGGATTTCTTCTGGAAGGAATGCCTGTCGAGGATATGGTAATGGGGGAAGGAAGCGTGGAACATACCTGATATAAATGCGAACCCATCAATTTAGCATCACGCTCAAACCATCTCTCTGGTCGAAATTCGTCGCAGTCGTCCCCGAATATCGAGGCATCGCGATGTAGAACCCATCCATTGACGGCAACCTCGATCCCACCCGGGTAAAACTTGCCGTCGATTTCGACTCCTTCCGGCGGAGTTTTGCGGTATATTCCCAATCCGACGGCCGGTCGGACTCGCATGGCTTCCTTCAAGCACGCCTGGAAGTAAGGCAGAGCCAGTGCTTCCGCGTAGGTGACGATTTCAGACAGTTTCCCAGCCTTTTGAGCCTCGTCGATTTCCTGGCAGAGGTTGGCGTAGACCTTGGGAGCGTTAAGCACCAAGTAGAAGAACGATTGCATTGTCGACGCCGTGGAGTCGGATCCCGCAAATCTGCAGCAACGTATAAGCACAGGTAGAGAGGAACATTGGCCTCCTGCAGCAAGCATCACTTACACAGCGCCATGAGCGATACTAAACACGTCATTCACCGAAAACTTCTCAGGGTTTGCCTCATGTGCTCGCAATAACTCGGCCAACAGATCGATACCTGTTGAATCGAAGGTTCCGTCCTTTTGTTTCCGCTTTTCGAGCTCGGCGACGGCAATTTTCGTCATCGTCGTTGGCTTCATTTGTAAGCCTAGGTAGGGCCGGATTGGGTTATTTCGAAGGAGGATGTCGTATTCTGCAATGTGGCCCACGATCCCGTCGTACCATTGGACGTCGTCGATGTTCTTGATTGAGCCCTCAATGTCGACTTCTTGTTCCAAGAAACCAAATTGTCGTGAAAAGGCCACTTCTCCAAGTACCTAGATCCAGCTTAGCCAGCGTGTGGGAAAAAGAACTGCGATGGTCCATACATCGAAAGCAAAGTAGTGCAATAGGTTTCCCAGGTTGCAAACCCGTTTGTTCTCGGTGGCATACTTCTCCAGATGCTCCATCAAAAGCTTGATCATGTCCTCGATCGGCCCTGATCGCTTCTGCATCTGCGCAAGGCTGTAGGGAGTGACGGCATAGCGTTTCATCTGCGCATGCTTCCATTCGCGAACTTCTGTAAAGATATCCGGTGCATGCTGCGACGCGCGACAAAGTCAATGTCCCCATCTGTCAGGGCACAAAAAGACGTGGCGTGATTGGATCTCACCTTTGGCGGAAAGACGCTGTAAAACATGGTCTTATGGAAACCTTTGCCCACGGCAAAAATGTCTTTGGCCGCATTGCAAGTGCCGAAGGATACCTCATTGGGGGCCGTGCGAACCACGGGTCCTGGCGGGCGGTGAGATTTTGGGGTCCCCTTCCAATGCGTTTTTGGAGGTCTAGGACTAACCGTATTTCTTGTGCAAAGCTATATGGTCCAACTCGGTGTGTCCATTGTATGTACTCCACACTGTTTGAAATCGCAAACGTCAGCCCACGATAGGAAAACAAAAAGTGAGACGAAGAGAGAGACGTACCTTTCCAAAGCCTCGAACACGAAGCCAGCCACGGCCCAGGCACATTGCGCAGAGGAGATGCGTAACGCTTATAGAGGGATCGAATGACCAGGGAAAGAACTGCTAGAAGCAGCAGATTTGCCTTCAACAGGGCCAAAACTTGGGCCACGAGAGAATGGCCGGGTGATGGGTTCTCGACCTTCATCTTGTGAGGCGATCTCTCAACGCTCGCTGTGGCCTAGAAGAAGAAGCCCGGTAGAGGCAAGACTCGGAGGAAAAACAACAGGAAGAAGAGGCAGAGACGTCAGGAATGAACCCATCATCACTATATCTACAGGTATATCCCCCCCCCGCGCCAACAGGACTTGGTTCGCATCGCTCTGCCGGTGGCTTCTACTCTGCGATCGAGGAAGTTCGCGTGAGATCGTGCCTCCTGGCCACTCCGTTTCATCCAATAGGACCGCCACTGGCGCAGGTCGGAGGGCGGCAATTGCAAAAGAGAGGATTCGGCTGACGGGTGATTGGCACATGGTCTGGTTCGACTGGAAGAGGTCTGGGTTCAGCCTATGGATGGGTAATGGGTAATGGGTATTGGCAACCACTGGGTATCTGGGCTCGCTGGGTAAAACCTTTGATGCAGCAAAAGCCCCGCCGAAGTCACCCACATCGGAAAACCCCCGTGAAACATCGGCAGTGGCACTCTGACCCCACATTGACTGTTTATGGAAATCCCCATGGTGTGGCACAGGAGAACCCCATGTGGCGTTGGAATTGTGGCTGTCCCTTGTAGTGGATGGTTGGCCTTTCATAAGAAGAGAGACTTGGGGGTTGTCAAGGCACGAGGCTGACCGTCCAAGGGGTCGAGGCTCACATATCCAGGTCAGGGAAGGAGGGCAGGAGGGGAAGCACCTCCAGGCATTCAAGGGTGGTCTGGGGTTCCAAACTGCACATTCTATCATTGCTATGGTATTGTTCCTAGAGAGCAGCTCTTCCATCGAGTCTGTAAAGCGCCATATAGGACGACGTTACCCCTTTCAGACCTCAAACTTCTCTCCCACCAACTCCTCACTGAGCTTCCACAGTTTCTCCGCGCCCTCCATGCTCTCCGCGTACTCATATGTGTTTTGGCACTGGCAATCTGCCATATACATACCACTCTGCGGCTCGATCCTAGGGTCCAAGGCAGCCACCAGAGTCGTCGAGATGCCCTGCGCCATACTCTTCGGTGGGTCCTGGTCGATAGGGAAATGTCTTCCAGTATTCTTTTGCGCATATGCTTCAATACTGCCAATTGCCTGAACAACATCGGAGATATGAGCTCCCAGTTGAGTCTCGTAGATCCCGCCAGGGTGGACAGCGTAGCTCTGGATGCCACGGTCACGCAGCTTGTTCGCCAGATACAGCGAGAAGAGAACATTGGCGGTCTTGGACTGACCGTAGCCAGACCAAGCGTCATACTCTCTTCCGTCCGAGAAATTGTAGTTGTCGAAGTGGACGGGGCAGATTTTGTGGCCGAGACTGGTGAGGTTGACGATTCTCGCTCCACGCCCAGCGACAAGAATCTTGGGGAACAAGAGTTTCGTGAACAGGAAATGGCCTAGATGGTTGGTTGCGAATTGGATTTCAATTCCTTGCTTGTTGGTCGTGTACTTCTCGATGGCCATGATCCCCGCGTTGTTGATGAGGATGTCGAGCTTGGAGATCTTGCCGTTGATGGTGGCGGCAGCGGCTCGGACGGAATCAAAGTCGTCAAGTGACACCGGGACGAAGTCGACCTGGATGGAAGGGTTGATTTCTTTGATCCGGGATATGATCGACTCCACCCGTGTTTGGGAGCGAGCCAGGAGGATCAAGTGTGCAGGGTTACCATGAGCGAGTGCAACCGCAGTCTCTCCTCCGAGGCCTTTTTCACTCGCACCAGTTACAACGACTATGGAGTAAGTGGGTTGGGCTGTCAGTATCGCAGGCTTCTCCGCGGGCTTGAAAAAAAGGCTCAAACGAGAAAGAAACGTACTTGTCTTGCCCTCGATTCTATCAGCAAACTCCTTGACAACTTCGTCACCAGTGGTCTCTCGAGTAAAAGTCTTCATCTTGACAGGGCTCCTGTGAACACCTTGGGAGAATCCGGTTGGCTTCAAAGGATTGTTTGGATGTCAAATTTGGTTGGGAAGCTGCTTTGACAGATGTCTAGTGGTATACCGCACGAACTGTTCATTGTTTGGAGGGCGAGGGAAAGCGTCCATTGTATTAAATAGCTTCTCAGACTAGGCAGGCAGACAGTGAAACCCGTCAAACCCAGTAGGAGATATCCTATCTCCATGCTCCGTCGTGGCATGCTACAACCTGGACCGCTGCCTAGGCCGGACGAAGGCCAGATCGGAATGTTTGTGCACGACTGCGAGTCATTGTAATGGCTCTTTCTGCAGCTATTCTCCAGGATCCTGAACCATCTACTGGAAAGCCTTCCAACAAAACAGTTCGATGGGCTTGATCAGGAAAATCTCGACCTGCAGCTACGGTCAAGTAGCTGGACACAGTTCGGTCGAATACGACCGCACTTCACGTCGCCACCAACGCGGACTTTAGTTTAATAATCATGACGACAGTTGTCAGCTGGGTGTCAGCGACTCACTTAAACACCGTCATTTCCCATCTGCCCAATCGGATCGGCAGTCCCAGTAGCCTGAATACGAGACGTCGATCATCAGATAGGGAGCCAAGGCGTCCTACAGCACACACAGGGAATGAGCCAAAAAAGTGTTGTCATATAGGTCATTACTAGTGGTAGTACGAGCCCATCAGGCTTGGACTTGAAAGGAAATAATGATACACACAACTTGAAGCGAGTGTTGATACTCATCATGGGGTATCTCCAAAAACAAAATAAGCAAAAGAATCCAAGCCACAACTGACACATCCCAAGACCGTTCACTTCATTCTCTCTCACTCTCCCTCTGCCATATCAGTCTGGTTCTCTGAGCACGTATATCGTCCGGGATGGGTATGTCCGACATGAGAGAAACCTGGATCATTCTTTAGATGTTTTCGATAACTCGGGCGTTCATGGCCTGCTGGAAGCCGTCGTTGCTGTCCATGTTGAAAGCATTGCCAGTGTTGGACTTGGAATTGTAACCACTACCCTCGCCAGTGGTCTGGTTTTGCAGCATGGAGTTCATGTCTGTGGGTATGGTCTGGTTGGCTGCTGGTAAGAAAATGACCTTGCTATTGGCCGTCTTGGCCATGGCTTGCATGGCCTCGAGATACCGGATCTGCATAGCAGGTGCAGAGCTCAAAATATCGGCCGCTTGTCTCATAAGTTTGGCCGATTCAACCTCTGCACGCGCAGCGATGACCTTGGATTCACCGATTCTCTTAGATTGAGCCGCCATCGACAACGAGTCTTGGAGATCGTTGCTGAAGATGATGTCCTTGATGAGCATGGATTCGACCTGGACACCCCAGCCGGCGGCAACTTCCTCAATGATCTCTCCAATGGACTGAGCGATTTCTTCACGTCGTTCAATCACATCCTGAAGCACGCGGGCACCCACCACGTGACGAAGGGTGGTCTGAGTACGTTCCACCAAGGCCTGACGAATATTGGAGATCCCAAAGGCGGCTTTGTGGGGAGACGTAATGTGGTAGTAAATGACTGAAGTCAAATTTAATGTGACGTTGTCTTTGGTCATACAGACCTGTCGAGGCACCTCAACGATTTGTATCTTCACATCAACCTGAATGAGGCGTTCGGAAAGAGGATTGACTTTCACCAAACCGGGATCGACGGCGCGCGCGAAACGACCAAACTTGGTGACCAGACCGACGTTTCCTTGCGAGACAGGCTTGTAGGGATTGGGACAGATGATGCAGCACGGAATGGCGCCCAGGCAACCGATGCAATCTCCCAAGGTACTGACTGCGCAGCATGTTAGCAGTGTGGTCCGCGCTTCTTGAGTCTCGGGTATGAATATACATACTCATAGAACCATACCAGCCATGAACGTCCTCCTGATTGTCTTGTAGAGTTTGCGCGTAAGAGGGTTGCAAGTCCTCCCGTCGCGGTGGCTGCACCTTGATAACACCACCGTTCTGTGGACGAAACCCGACTGGGTTTGCGGCAGACTTGCCAGTGTCGCCCCCAGACTCGCGAGGAGAATCCATTGTTGAGGGGTCCGATTCGGAGACTAAAGGACGCGTAGACGACGACAGGATGGGCGATGGACGGACGGTTGGAGGGACACGCACGCAGACGATGGTGCGAAGAGAGAGTTGTCAGAAGGAAATGGGATAGAAGATTATGGTTCTGTTTTGTCGTGGGAAGAGTTGCGACAACGCAGGCCGAGGAGGGTGTCGGGAAGAGATTACGAGTACGAGAACCGAGTAGTAGTAGTCGTCATGGATATGGGGGAGTGATATACCTGTTGTATTCGTGTGAGAGGGAGATCTGAACGGGGGTGGAGGTAGCAGCATGCGTAGTGGGAAGCTAGGAGGGCGAGCGAGCCGTGAGACCGGGGGAATTGGGCAGTGTGATTGGCGCCTTGAAAGCCTCCAGGGTCTTGAGTTCTAGGGGTGGTGGATAAACGGGTACTCAGGGTGCCAGCACCAGCACCACCCACCAGGAGCTTCCTGCGCCCAAAACTCATTCTGAGGCAAAACACTATTTCTGGAAGCATGGAACCCCCCCTCCCGACCCTCTTTCATGCCAATCCCTCAGTCACGGGGCGCGAAAATGCTCTCATGCCACTGACTTTCTTGCACAGGTATCCGTCTCGCCGTACCAAGCTAACCGAGCATTGGAGGGTACGATGATCTTCCGTGACTGAAATGATCAATTGAAGGCTTTTGTGGTCAGACTACGAGTACGAGTAAGAAAGTAATCTCAGAGATGCCAGGATCCCCCATCCTATGGTTGAATCGGCACGAGTCCCACAATCAAAACTCAGCCACGAAGGAATCAACGGTGCCAAGGCAAGGCACACTTACAACTGGCAGTGTTAGCAACGGGCGAAAAAGGAGGTACGAGTAAACTTGTCCATAGTAAGAATTGATGGGAATGTCCTTGTACCGAGTACTTGGATCGAACAAATTTACTGACGTTTCATTAGTAATAGATCATCACCAGGGTAATGTCATCTCTGTCATCGCTTCTACTGTTCCACTCCTACCAAGAGTGTCGAGTATCGCCGTCAACGAGCCTGTCGATATCTGGACCGTTTACGAGGTTCCGAGTATCGGACTGTGCAATGCTGTAGAGCCCTATTCGCTGGGAGCTAAGCCACGAGCTTGCCAGCGTTCTTTCTTGCCGCTTCGAGGTTGGCCTCAGTCTCGTGGGCGCCCCGGATCGCTTCGCATACCAAGGATATCACATTTCGCAGCAGTTGCTGGGCAAAATGTAAGTTTTGCGTGAGGAGTTTAGCTGCGCGGCACTCCTCGCGATCGCGATCCGCAAAGGACGACACCAGCTTCAACAGCGGGCGCACGGGATGGCTAGCTTGATAGCCATTTCCTCGGACAGATTGCATGCGTGACCAAATCTCGAGGTCCGAACGCCGACCCTTCCCCTACCATAGGCAAAAAGACAGAGAATCCTATCAATTCTTGATAGATTCTAAGCACTATAGTAGACAAGGATCGGAGGCAGGATATTTCTGACAACTACCAAATGATAAGTCAAGTATAACGGATCCACACTGTCCTTCTCACTTAGACCATATCCAGTATCCAGGTACTCTGCCCGTCCAGGCTTAACCCGGCCATGCTGCGGTTCAGAGACTCAGCAGGCTTCTGGCCCAGCCAGATGGGCTCGCTACGACTCATTCCCTCCTGGACGTCCCAGCCCTCGGTGCCCACGGCGTAAATGACCCTACCGTGGAGGTACTTCTCGCGCATGCCCCGTTCATGGCCCTTTTCGTACCACACGCCGCCACCACTGGCGATGCCGCTGCCATTCGACGAGTCTCCGCCGTTGATGTCCGGCGTGGATGCATTTGTGGCAACCACGCCGACAACGACGCGAGCAATGTCCTCAGGTCGATCTGGTGGAAGCTGCACAGACATGCTCCGGCCCCCAGACTGGGCGACAGCGCGTGGGACCATGACGTTCGTGACGACTGCGTTGATTCGCACGCCATCGCGTTCTGGGTCAGGGTCGATGTTCGTCCAGAGGCTGCGCACGAGTCCCAGGATCGAGTGCTGCGTTACTTGGTAGATAGGCAGGCGTGGGGTCTCCTTGAATGCTGCCACAGATGTTAGGAAAGTCAGACTGCGGTCGTTCATACCCGGTGGGGTAGAAGGCTCAGGCTGCGGTTTCGAATAGGGATTGACGATTTTCTTGGTGCTGCTCTTGGACTTCGGCGAATACTTCAGATACGCCAATGCAATTCGAGCAAACCGGATGCTCGCCGTGATGATTTCTGCCAAACCGGCGGGCTCTGTTGCGACCTCGTCATAGGCCATTTTGGCCGTCTTGTTGATCCCAGGTCGGTCTTCAAACCAGCCCTTTTCGCCCGCACCGACCGTGCATGCTTGCCCGCCGTCATCGCCCACGCCGAAGATTGCGTGGTCAACACGACCGTACATGGTGATCGCAAGCTTGAAGAGGTCCAGCATGTCAGAGTACCTTGTCATATCGCATCTGTTGTAGTGAACCACGTGCGGTGGGCCTAGCGAGGAGATAAATTTGCGGGCCTGGTCACCGTTCGTGTCGCCAAAGATCACCCGACAACCTGCCGAGTGGAATTGACGTACGAGGCACTGGCCTGTTTGGCTGGCGCCATTGGTCAGAACGATGACTTTGCCGTGGAAGGATTCTTTCGGCAACGGTGGCGGTGTGAAACGGCAAGGGTTGGAAGCGAAGACTTGAGGGACGGATGACATGGACTGGGATTTCTTGGTTCGTGTCGTGAAAGGGTTTACGGGAGTGGTTGTTGATGAGCCATTTGGTTTGAGAGAAGGAGAAGTCGTTGTTGAGGGGGCCAGAGCCTGGTTTGAAGTGGATGGAGGGGCGACAGAAGGAGACTTTGGTGATGATATGGGAGTCGCTACATCAGGGGAGGGCATTGAATTGACCATGACCGTGGGGGTGGTCGTAGCATCGGGGGAGGCTACCTGAGATACTCGTTTCTTCTTTTTGGGCACGGGCGTTTGGACGTCTGCTTTAGGCGGTTCGTTGGGCACAGAGATTGGCTGCTGTTCTTTCTGTTTAACGGGGTTTAGATCAGCCTCGAGCTCGAAAGTGTGAGGCGTCTTGGTGACGGTCTTTCTTCGGCGGGTGGGTTTGCCAGAGTCGTCAGTGGTAGCGGCGTCGCCAACGGGGGGAGGAACGTCCAACCGCTGAGTGGATGGAGGAGGTGAGCCAGACTCTTCTTCCTTGGTGGCAGTCGACATGATGCTTCGTATGGGAGACGTGGTATCTGGAGTCCTGGAAGATTTGGACATCTGGCGAGATATGCCTTCACCATTCAAGGCGGACGAGGTCTCACTGGCCCATGGATTCGGCGAGACAGATTCACTGGACTGAGAGGTGACATCCAGCTGCGAAGTCACATCAAACTCGCTGCCTGAACTGGTCTTGGTTGACTTCTTGCGCAGGGTCTCTTTCATGGCTGACGGTGGGCGTTATCGTCGAGGGAACAGCTAGCTGCCTGGGCAACAGGGAAAAGTAGCGTTAACGGAGGTCGACGAGGGATCGGATCAGATCAGGTTCAGGACCCAGATGCCGTAACGTGGCAGCGGGTTGTGGGGTTCTTCAGCTGAATGGCAGCTATGTGGCAATTGATGGCGACGGGCATGTCGATCACCCTGAGGAGAAGTGGTCTGGCATCATAGGGTTTTGGTACGCTCTCGATTGAGTTTATTCGGATCAGAACATGACCTGATCAAGCTGACGAGGAAAGGGACGATTGATCTGGAAATTCATGTCTTTGTGGTAGAGGCGAGAAACAGGCTAATTGGAGGGGCGCATGCAGAGCCATGCAACCCACGAGGCACCAGACGACTCTGTATGGCTCATTGCATTGTTCGATTGCTGAGAAGGTGCTGAGAAGGAAGAATTGTCGAAGCCCGATTTGTTCGCCTGCAGCTCCCGGCCCCTCTAAGACACTGAAACCTAATGTACCGAGTACGAGGGACCTCATACCCTATTTACCTAAATACCACCTAGAAGCACAAAGCCCACGGTGCCCTCAGTGCAGGTACTCGGGACTATGCACAAAGGCCTAAGATGCCGCTTTCAAAGAGAAATGAAGCTGATGCAGACATGCTGGTTCAAACGGCGGGTTTCCATCTCTCGTCCCTCTATAGTCGATCCCTCAAGTCAAATCTTCAGGTGTTCACCTGTATATCTTTATGCAGGTGTGGCAGGACAACCATCTGAATTCATCGGCTCCTACTTGTATAGCCACTAAAATCCCTCTTCCTCCCAAACGCGGAATATGGGATCCTCGCCCTCAAGCCCCTCCTTCTGCCTCCACCCAGCACCCAAGGACTAGGCACGACGAAAATGTGTGCCCATACAATCTACTGTCGATGTCGTCGCAATTTGCATCATCAATCACAATCGTACATCTCCGCGTGTCTCGTACTTGGTCTCTACCCACATCTGCTACCTTTACTTAGTCATCTATGGTGTTGATAGGTCATCTGGACCTCTTGTCTTCTCACATCTTTCAGTCTCGACCAAGAAAGACCTTATGATGACAAATTATTTGTTTTGGTATACAGCTCGGTGATTCACTGTATAAATCCTGCGACGTTGACCACCGGTATCACCACTTCATAGGATATTCGCAGCGTACAAACGGCGGACGCAGACTCAGAACTTGAAAAAATAAGCACAATGGGCGAAGACGCAACTACACCCCCGGAAACCACCTCCCTCTCATCGTCTCGGCCCATCTACACGCGTGAACAACTGTCCACATACGTTTCAACATGCATTGCGCCTTCAAAGGATTACACTCTTGCGACACTCGAGTCCGAGATCAAGACAGACCCCCTGGCAGCGCTGTCAACCCTGCAGCTCCGTCAGATGGCCTTTAATCCATGGGGAAACGTTGCACTGCATTATTCGTGGCACCGCGTCCTGTCGCTCGACCATGAGGCATTATATCACAAGCTCGTCGAGCGAAGGTTGGGTGGCTATTGTATGGAAAACAACGCTTTTTTCAGCACCATCCTCCGATCCCTAGGCTATCAGCTGTATGTGACGGGGGCAAGGGTCAGTCTCGCTTTAAGCGGGGACTCAGTCGATCCTGACGGGTTCGCTGGATGGTAAGTGTGTTGTGACGCTCTCGGAATCCGCCATCAATTGCCATAAGAATAGCTGACATGTTGTGTCGACAGGCAGCATGAAGTCATTATCGTGACCATCAACAAGCAGAAATACCTGGTATATGACCCTTTACCCTTCCACCCGATAGCCATACCAGTGAACAAAGCATGTCCCAACTCCTAACACTCCGATATAGGTCGACGTCGGTTTTGGTAGCGGTTCCCCCATCTACCCCATTCCTCTAGATCTCGACAACCCGCGACCTCACGCCTCCGTACCCGGGGCCGAAGTCCGCCTCGTACACAGGCCCATTGCCTCCAACACAGATCAAACCCAGAAACTTTGGGTTCTCGAGACCCGTAACAAGACCCACCAAACTTGGCAGGGCGGCTACTGCTTCGCTGACCTGGAATGGCTTCCTATGGACTTCGAGATCATCAACTACCGCACGAGCCAAGACCCAGCGAGTTGGTTCACGCACCGTCTCGTCCTGGTACGCATTCTCGTGGATGACGAGACGAAGACAGAGGCCACGGGGACCGTCGTCCTGTCTGGGACTGTCTTTGAGCGGAGGCTGGGTGAAGGACCCAAGGAAGTCGTCCTGGATGCGAAGTCCGAGAAAGAGCGGATTGCAGGTCTAAAGACCTGGTTCGGGATCGAGCTCAACCCAGACGAGCAGAGAGGTATTGCGGGTACCGCCGCCGAGGTCAGGCAGCCGGTCAGTGTATAGATAAGATCCGACCTCTCGGCACTTGTATATTTATATGTGATATCACATACAACAATATCTGATTCCACAGCGTGAACAGACTGTGACGCAATAAGCATAAAAACGAGAGGCTTGGAGACTCGTGATCCCCAATTCTGATATCGGGAAACCGTGTGAAGGGAAAGTGCCCCACTATGATCGCTGCCGTAGCAACCTCTCAGTATTCCAAAATGGGTGGCCTACAACAACGCCAAGACATGAGCAGCAACCTCGGAGTCAATTCATCAGCGCCGCTGCAGAATAAACTTCATTGACCGTGAAGTTGACCTGAAAACTGAATCCGAGGAGGTCGCAGCCCAGCACTGTCCTTTCCTCCTTCATCATGGACAACTCGACCAAGATGCCACCACAAACCTCGCTGTTCCAGGTCTATCTACGCCTTCGACCTGCGTTTCAGCTCCCGCAGTCAAAGCAAAAGCCTGAGCCGTGGCTTATCGTGGAACCGCCGAATTCACCTGTCGAACCCGATGAAAACTCATGCAATACCTTCTCGAGCCACATCACGCTACAGCCTCCCAATGACTCAAGAAAGCGCGCAATTGAAAGATTCGGATTTACAAAGGTATTCCAGGAGGAGGCAACACAATTAGACATATTCGATGAGACTGGCGTGGCAGACACAATTAAGAGCGTGCTGCAAACCGGAAGAGATGGCCTTGTTGCCACATTGGGAGTTACAGGCAGTGGGAAGGTAAGCAGGCATTGAGTTAAGATCTTTTCTTAGCCACTGACCACGAGATAGAGCCATACAATCCTTGGATCAAAGTCTCAACGAGGACTCACACAGATGACTCTGGATGTTCTTTTCAGGTCAATTGGCGAGCATATACGTCGACCGCACCATCCAGATCTCCCCACGGATACTGGCCTGCTTTCTTCCCTCCAGGTGTCTGATCCCGCCGAAGCCCAGATCTTGTCGGCAACCACTTTCCTCGAGTCAATCTACAGCGATGGCGATCGAGCTAGACTATCACGAGCGCAGACACCCATGTCACGAGCTCAAACCCCCATGATGGTAGGCATTCACAACAATGGGCTTCCCGGCTCATTTCCTGCACCTCCCCGAACCCGTTCAAACTCCAACACTATTGAAAACCCATTGCCGTTGGCATCGATCCCCGACCATTTCACAGGCTGTGCTCTGTCATCCGTACAGGTACCTTCGAGTATCTCTGATATGATTTATCCGCTCGAGAAAGAACCCTGGCGGCCGCCGTCAAAAGTCCCATTTTTAAGTCGCCTGAAAAACTTGAGAAAGTCCCCTGCTAAATCTGTGCTTGTCAAGGAATCTATGGGTCACTCTGTCCGAAGGCCTCCTCTGCCTCGACCGTCCACATTCCCCCAGAACCCTGACGTGGGAGGATTTACCGTAGACATCGAGCAAGATTCCGAGTATGTCGTCCTCGTATCGATGTACGAGGTATACAACGATCGCATTTTTGACCTGCTATCGAATGCCACGTCACCAAATGCACCACCAACATCGACACGGCAAGGAGCCGCTCTGCAGAAGGGTTTGCTCCGGCGTCCATTACTGTTTAAGAACACCGAAATGTCCCCCGATATGAAAGTTGTTGCTGGGCTTCGGAAAGTTGTATGTGGTAGTTATGATGAGGCAATGATGATTCTTGAAACGGGCCTCACCGAGCGGAGAGTCGCAGGAACAGGAAGCAATAGTGTCAGTTCCAGAAGTCATGGCTTCTTCTGCATCGAAGTGAAAAAGCGAACGAGGTCGAACTACCATGATGGGTACTTAATATCCTGTCAATCTCCTTGGACTGGAGGAACCATGACCATCTGTGATCTCGCTGGTTCCGAACGTGCCCGCAACGCCAAAACCACCGGCTCGACGCTGGCGGAAGCAGGAAAGATCAACGAGAGCTTGATGTACCTTGGACAGTGTCTGCAGGTCATCAATGATTGCCAACAAGAAGGAAGCAAGCCTATCGTCCCGTTCCGGCAGTGCAAGCTAACCGAGCTTTTGTTTTCAAACTCTTTTCCATCATCGAACCATACTGTCGCATGCAGACCACCACAGAAGGGGGTGATGATTGTCACAGCTGATCCTCTTGGAGACTTCAATGCCACAAGTCAGATTCTGAGATATGCAGCCATGGCTCGAGAGGTTACAGTTCCCAGGGTTCCCAGCGTGACTAGCACGATCTTGGGGGGACCTCAAGGGAAGGCATTACAAACTGGCCGGGCTACTCCACATGATGTTGCAAATGCGTTCTTCATCACGAAAGAACTAGATCAGGCAACCCATGAGGCGGCAAGACTAGCTGAAGAATGCGATTTCTTGGCTGTCAAACTCGCGGAAGAAGAAATCAAGCGAACTGAGGCAGAACTGAAGCTACAAGCAGCGGAGGAGAAGCTCACCGTCATGGAGCAAGAAGTTCGTGAGGAGTGCTGGACAGAGATGGAGGAACGGCTGGACGAGGAGAGAGAAAGATGGAGAGCAGCGTGGGAGCAGGAGAGGCTGAGAGGAGAGGCGTATGTGGATGGCAAGCTTGAAATCCTCGAGAAAACAGCAAAGATCACGATCCACGAGGATACTCCTGGTGACGGGAGGATTGAGGAGCTTGAGAGAGAAAATGAGAGCCTCCGAGTCAAACTGCGCGCGCTGGAACAAGAGATTCAGACAAGAAGCCCAACAAAGAAATCTCGAGGCACGGCCACGTCCAAATCGCCACTCAAAAGTTTGGTCTTGCAGGAGTCTTCCAACACCAACATTGCGACCAACCCTTTTCTAGCTTCTTTGAGGGCATCGGCCAAGGATCGAGACAGCGAGGCAACGCTCAAGCCCAGGCAAAGCGACGATGGGTTGGACATATGTGATGTTTCGCCACGGAAGCTGTCACTACGGAGCTCAAGTGTGACCAGGATATCGGTGCTGGAAGACTCACAAGTGGCTGCTCCCCCTGTCAAGAAGCAGCGAAAGTTGACGACGCGGAAATGGGATCTTGGTGACCCAGACGCTCTTTGAGTTGCTTTTCAAGGGAGATGATCAGATCCATGGGCGCATTGCAGGCAGTGATGACCACGTACGATATCGAGCAGTATTTCTCTCAGGAGTGCATTCTGGAGTTTCTTTGGTCAGACTTATCACAGGGCGAGCTTTTGAGGAGTGTATTAGTCAATAAGATGTATTCCTTGTATGCTTTGGGGCACATTGACCTCCGAAAGAGTGACACACCAAGTTGCTGAAGCTGAAAGACAGACCAGCGCAGTTTACGTCATCGACCAAAAGACAAAGAGGGCAGTTACGAGGTAGACGTGCTTCGGTTCAGCCAGAAGCCGACAGGACCATCATGTCTAAGGAATTGGTCAGCCCTGCCCGCATGCTGATCCGTCCGCCCAGTCGTGAGAGGCCCTGAGTTACCCTTGTGTTACATGCAAGCACATGCGCCCCTCGTGGTGGACGAATCGGTTTGCCCACAGTTTCGGCTACCGACCTCGATCGACCTGTCAAGCCTGTCCAACTCCTCTTCCCTGATCGCTAACAAAGACCGAAGCGCGAGTAATATGACTAACCCTCATTCTTGACCCTCCCTTGACGACCCAAAACGGCAAAGACAGACTTATCTAATGCAACGACGTGGCCGAGACCATCGATAGAACAAAGACTTTGCGTGAAAGTCAACTCCAAGAGAATTGGCCTATATAAGAAGAGCAGGTTCGATTACCACAGGGGAGACAATCTTGTTCAGAGGATTTACAGACACCACTTCAAATACTTCTCAGGTTCGTCTGAAGGTACATTTCTATCTCAGGAACCTAAACTCTCACATACAGCTTACGATCCCCGAAAGTGGCCTTCAGAAATCCCCTCAAGATGGCCCAGAAAATCATCACTGTCTTTGGTGCCACAGGCAACCAAGGTGGCAGCACAGCCTCTGCTATTTTCAACAACCCTAGTTTGTCTTCCAAGTACAAGGTCCGCGCCATTACTCGCGACACGTCCAAGCCAGCAGCACAAGCTCTTGCCGCAAAGGGCGCTGAACTAGCCAAAGCTGACATCAACGATGTCGAAAGTGTGAAAGCTGCCGTCACAGGTTCGTACGGTGTCTTTGCCGTCACCAACTATTGGGAGACGCAATCCAAAGAAGCCGAGATCAAGCAAGGCAAGAACGTTGTCGATGCATGCAAGGCTGCCGGTGTCAAGCACTTGGTTTGGTCAACTTTGCCACATGTGACAAAGTTGACCCAAGGCGAACTTACCAAGGTCGAGCACTTCGAGTCCAAGGCTGAAGTGGCAGAGTATGCCGAGCAGGTCAAAGGCGACATGATCGTTTCGTACTACATGCCGGGATACTTCATGTCCAACTTCAAAACCCAGTTCAAGCCGGATGAAGAGACTGGCGCGCTCACCCTGACACTCCCATGGAATCCCCAGAGTACCTGGGTACCCCTGATTGATATTCAGAACGACACCGGTTTATTCACTGTGGGCCTCCTCGAAGCTGGATCGAAGGCGAATGGGGTCCACGTTCAAGGTGTCGGCGAGTGGATGCACCCTCAAGAGATTGTCGAGACGCTCTCGAAGCTAAAGGGCAAGGAGATCAAATTCGTCGAACAGCCTGCCACTGTCGAGTCTGCTGCGAAAATCGGCAACAAGATTGCAGAGGAGCTGGCACAAAACATGATGCTGATCCGAGACTGGAGCTACTACGGCAAGGGAACCGAGAAGAAGCAAGCTGAGAGTGACAAGTTCTTGGTGCCAGGTTCCAAGAAGACCTCCTGGAAGGAGTTTGTTGAGCAAACCAACTGGTCGTTCTAAGATGATGCCAGTATGCAGAGCGTTGGGAGGATGAGCCGTGCAATCCAGATCGAGGCATTTGGCCAACTGCATGGATGACACCATCAGGGAAACAGATCTCAGTGTCTAGGGGCCCCGGGTCTCGATGGCCCTCAAAAGGCATTTCAATAATACCATAATCACTGATCATGAATTTCTTCCCTCCGCTTAACTCGTCGTTCTTTTTATTTAATGTTGGGTTCGGACATACCTGACCATTGATGAAGTCTGAAGGGACTCAAGTGGCAGGGAGAAAGAAAGGGGTTACCTCGTCTGCTCGTACAAGAAACATGTTACTTGTATGCCATTGCCAACTAGCGCCGGGCGGAACAAAACCAAAAGGCTGACGCCCTAGCGGCCCCTAGGCATTATGTTAGGGGTGTCCAACGCCCAGTCACCTGTTAGATGTCCCTAAGGCGGCCAGGTGGGACGCCGTGCTACTCCTACTAGGGCAACATAACGGTGCTAAAGATCAACGGCCCCTTTCCAACCTTCCCCATTTCGATATTTCATCAACACTCATCACAACCAACACACCACAGAAGGCTGGTCTTCTCTGCAATATCCCTTGATTGGCCGTTACGCTACGAGGACCTAAATTAACTGCCTTGAGGCGATTGGTGCTATTGAAATCAGAAACGCCTGTCGAGTACCTCGTACTGTACTCGGTACCTTGTACCCTGTACTCTGTACGAGCATCGAGTACAGCCATCTCTCCAGCCATGACACTTCAAGGCCAATTTGAGCATTACCTGCCACTCCTTGAGGACGAGTACGAGGACGCTAAAATGCCGACGCAGCCTTGCTTCAACGCATCGAGGTTTCGCACCTCAACTCTCTGTCCTTCCGCACATTCACCCTCGAACAGTAGCGTCAGGCTGAGCTCTACCACCCACCATGGACCCAAGGGTTCCTGCGACAATAGATGAGAAAGGGGAATCCAGCCATGCGCCATTACCCACGGCGCCGAATACACCTCCAGCTGACGATCACATTGTCGCGGTACAACCACCCGCGGCTCAGCCTCCTCAGCACCCAATCGTGCCTACATTCTTTGGAGAGCTCGCAGGAACAGGTAAACGAGGTTCCCCGCTCAATTGGAGCTTTATTGACCGAGTCTTAGATGGCCAGGCATACATGTCCTTGCGAAAACGCGTGACAGACGCTTACCGTTGGCACACATACCAGTATTGGTTTGTGGCCATCACCTCGAACTCGCTCCTTTTCTTCCAGATCCTCATCGCAGCTTCTCTCACCGTGCTGGGGGCCTTCAATGACCGGCGCGCTCGGACCGCCACCATCTTTCTCGGCGCCACCAACACCGTTATTGCAGGGCTCATGACCTACTTCAAAAGTCGCAACCAGCCGAATCGCGCCCGACAGTTCCGCAACGACCTCGCAAGGATCGTGGATCAACTTGATGATGCAGAGGCGAACTTCCGCAATCCAAACCGCCACGACGACGTCTACTTGGTCATGGAACAGATCAGAGAAGCTTATAACCAGGCGCGGACTGATGCCGAAGTCAACTATCCGGATTTGTGGGTTAAAGGCTCGACTTCTCAAAGTTCAAATCCTACGGCACGAGCATCAACGAACCCGCGAACAACCGTCACCCCTCCTCTAGCAGCACCGTCGTCGGTGCTAGGAACGACAGATCGTCCTGTGTCTGATCTGGCCCATGGGGGACCAATAACAGGTTCAACAGTGAGAGTTCTATAAGCTATTCGTTGTGTGCTATATCAGTGCTAGCGACGCGCGCTTGAGGGATCGACCAGCCAGGTGTGAAGTGGTGGCATCTTCACATGGTTCAAGAGGTCAACTAATCCCCTTGACCGATCCAGTCTGCAACCCTCTCAGCCATTGCATAGACCACAGACTGAGGGTGACACGCCATCGGGATCGGAAATACACTGGCATCGACGACCCTCAAGCCTTTGACGCCCACCACGCGACAATGACTGTCCACGGCTTTGCCCATCGCGCAGCTACTCGTCGGGTGGTCAAGACTATATCCAAAATCAGCAATTCGCTTGTCGATTTCCTCGTCCGTTGCGTCCATGATACACGCGTATCCCTCTGGTGCAACTTCATGGGATATAAAGGACCTCCCAGCCTCGGTGCCAAGATGGACTGATGCCGCTTTCCGAAGCGCCTCTCGGAGGCCAGCCCTGTCCACATCAGTATCGAAGAAATTCACGTCAATTACCGGCGGATCCTCGATGTTGGCCGACCTCAAAGTGATGGAACCTCGGGATGTAGGTGTCAGAAAGCAGACGATGGTGCTAATATAGCTCCCGTCCAGTGGTACGTCGATACCCGTGAGCCTCTTGCCAATGGCCACGTAGAGCGTGACAATCTCCGTATGGGACGCATCCGGCCTGAGTACAAGGTTTCTGTCTTCCTGAGTCTTGATCAGAGGTTCCAGTTTCGCTAGCTGGTCTAAAGGCCCGAACATCATGAAATCCACCGGCCACCCGGCGAAATATGAAGGGTCGTTGAACAGTGGCGACCCGATGGACAGCCCCTTTTCCGGATGCTCTAGTTTCCAGGTCAGCCCCATGGCCAAATGATCTGTGAGGTTTTTGCCAACTGCGCGATTCGGGGCAATGGGCTCTATGCCGTGCTTTGCCAATTCGTCAGGGTCGCCTATCCCAGAGAGCATGAGAACTTGGGGGCTGTGGTACGCCCCGGCGCAGACAATGACCTCTTTTTTCGCGACCAGGTGCTCGCCGCCGACAAGGTCGACGCCATTTGCAATAGGCTGGTCTTGTCCCGAGAAGGTGACGCGCTGTACCGTACTCGTGGTCCGAATGTCCACCTTTGTCAAATCGAAGATTTTGCTCGGTAGCTGTCTGACGCTGTTGACCCAGACCTCGACAAATTCGATCAGGCCATTCTGATCACCTGCATTGCCGTCAGGGATGTACCTGGCCCCTGCCTCCTCCCACATCTTTTGAATTGATTCCCTCAGGGGGTACTTCCTCGCTGGCCACAGAGACCGGATCGGGGTGAGCTTTAATGGTCCATCGTGTCCGTGCTGGCTTTCATCCATCTCCACACCCTCTGGCGACACTACACTCTCCACCCTCTTCATATAGGGGAGAAGGGCATCATAGCCCCAGCTGTCGTCGCCCACGACCTTTGCCCACAGATCGTAGTCACTTTTCGGTCCCCTCGTCCAAGCACCCCCATTGATCGCCGCGGAGCCACCCAGCGCCTTGCCGACCGGCGCGGTTGCGCCGCGTCCGTTGAGGTGCCGATTGGGTGAGATGGCGAGCTGATACGAGTGAGGGGACTCGCGAGCCAGATGCGCGCCTTGGCTCGTCAAGATATGGTCGGTGGTCGAGGGGTCTGTCCCTGCCTCGAGGACGAGAATCTGTTTGGTATCTGAAGGCGGGAGGATTCTGGACAGTCGCGACGCCAGGACGAGCCCGGCAACGCCGCCTCCGACGATGATGTAGTCGTACGGAGACGGAGACAGTGACGAGGCCATTGCCGTACTGTTCCGTGCCCCTCTAGTTTTTTGTTCTACTGTTCAGGACAGGACAGGATGCTCTCAACCAAGACGAAGACACGGACAAAGAGATTATTCGTGATGATATGATATGATATGATGTTGTCGTTAATGTTGATGGAATGGAACGGAATGGTATTGTATAGCACCATACAATATAATATAATATATCTATCTTCTAACGGAAACAAATGATAATCTTTTATAGAACAGTCCCTTGTAGAGTAGCAGCAGTACTGAGTAGTTATCTATCTCACAATCTTATAATAGAGAGGAAAGATGGGGGGAGGGGGAAGTGAATGACAATCCTCAGCTCGTCCCGTCTGGGTAGTCCGTGCGGATCATTATGCGTTGGGTTGGGTATGGTTTGGTACATATTATAGGGTTTGATTGGGTTCGGCTGGGAGGGGAGGGGAGGTACTCGGTAATACCTTGGATTTGCGGCTGAATGAACGGCTGAATGGATAGATTGCTTTGTATCTCGCACCTCCAGTAGGTACAAACCTACTTAGCGAGGCACGCGAGGCTAGATACCTGTACTTGGTACTTGAACTGTAGATAGAAAGATAGATCGACGCTCCCTCCCGCGTGAACCACATGCCCTGATCCGGTAAATGGTACATTCTCTCGGTGCAGGTCCTCTCGGGATTCATCCTCGTCTATTGTGGTAGGGTAGTACACAATCGCAATGCAATGCGGGACGCATGTATGCCTTGAGCCATGTTCATCTGCGCACGCTGCGTTACCGTCGGGCCAGGTCTTGAGCGGTGGCCACACAGAGTGAGTCCGTATGTATCCCAAGAGATAGATAATGGTCGAGGAAAGTAAGGCGCACATCATCTTTCCATCTGCGATTTTTCGCTCCCCTGCTTCATGGAGAGATCGGGCTTTGTATTGCTTCTCCAACCTGCCTTGTCAGGCATTTCATTCATTCATGCAGTTAATTCGACATGTAGCGAGATGCCGAGACGACAAATCGACAGATTGCGTGTTAGAGGAGCTGGAATGCGCAGAACGGACGAGCTCCAAAAGCGCAGAGCCACGAAAATATTCGCATTATGACTTTAACTGGGTGGTATCACACATTCAAGCTCGGGACAGATTTTCCAAAACGCCACGAATATCGCGGGCAAGGACCTCGTAACTGGTCGCGTGATAAATAAACCTGAAATAGCTGCGTGGATCTCATTCATGGCCCGCTCGTCGGGCGAAACCATATGTGAATCAGCCGCATTGACAACACCCTTGTTTGTTCGTGTAGAAATTCAGGCATCTATTTGGATGATGTGGTCAGTACATGTCCGCAGAAGACTGATACGTGAAGGCTTCTCGCAAGACAATCACTTACCCGCCGGCGGTTGCCTTCCAAAGCATACACCCGTCTCTTGACTTGTAGCTCAGACTGTGTCGAGGAAAGAAATGTCAGCCTCGTTGTTCTGTCGGAATCACCACAGACGTTTCGCGCAGAGGACCTGTCAGGCCTGCCGTTCATAGAAAGCAAAAAAACAGGGTATATCACTGGTGCGCCATACCAGCCACTTGTATTATCGCCGTAATTCAGACAGCCTTCGGCGTGATCGCCATAATTTAGACATCCCTCGGCGTGGTCGCCAACGACCATACACCCTGAGGCGCCATCTCCAAAGGTACAGCAGCCATCCTCGACCTGTCTCTTTTGACAGGACTCAGTTCCCGCGGATGCAGACGCAGACGCAGCCTGCTGCGGGCTTGTCTCCGGATGTGACGCCGCTTGCTGAGCAGCCTCGCTCTGCGGCTGAGGAGATTCGTCTCGCTGCAGTCGGTCATTGCTATGTGCGGAGGAGGAGCGCGAGGACTCTTCGTAGGGAGGTGGGGGATCCATGCGCGGGAATGTGCTCGATCCACCTCTATTGGGCGGAGAGGTGGAATCTCTAAGTTTGCCCATTCTGCCGAGTTTGATCAATAGGAAGAATCAGCGAGTATAGATCTCGTCTCGTATGCTGGAGAGAAAAAGCTCGGTGGTCAAGATCGCAAGTTGTTTGACTATGGTGCAGGTGTACTCGGTACGAATGTGAATACTCTGCGGTTAGCACTGCTCAAAACCCTATCCGTCGCAAGAAAATCACGAAACATTATATGGTTCGCCGATGTGACTGTGAGCGAAGAAGCATTGACATGCTCAAGCATCGACTGATGGATGCGCTGGAAAGATGGCATGATTGGTCAAGGCTACGAACACGATTGGCCTGTTTGGTTTCTGCCTGCGGATCGAGTTGTGCAAAAGAGGAATAGGCAAAGATGAAACTGAGGCTTGACGAGCTGTGGCTGGGATATGTTCAGTAGGCTCGACCATAGGAATTATGTTGCCTAATGGCAAAAAGCAAAAGGACGAGGTACGAGCTATAGCAAGTTTCTTGTTGCTTTGGACTTGGTAGTGACGGTGGGAGGTGGAGGCGGGATGCCTGGATTCTAGAAGACTCCAAGGGTAAATCCGGGGAGATGATAATTGGACACGAGTAGCGAGGCTCAGGTGGCGCAGCTCTTTTCTCTTCACTTGAATCTTGGTTAGAAGAAAGGGATAAAACTTGGTACTTGTCTGAGCAAGATATGACGCCAGTCAGTCAGTGTGCGACAGACAGACGAAGGGAGGTGAGCAAGTTGGCCAATCTGCCGTGTACCTCCGTCCTCTACAAGTGCTCCGTAGTGACTCAAACTCATGATAGGCCAGGTTTTGAGGCTAAGTTGAATTTTTCACTCGTGTGTGTGAGAGAATACGAGATGGGAACAAGCATCCACCCACTACGCTGTCAGGTACTTGTACTCGGTATAAGTCCTCGGTACAAGTAGGATGATGTTGTGATGGCACCCACTCAGGAGGTTGTCTGTTTACGCGGAATAACTGACACACATTCAGAGACACGCTCAGGTGAGAGTGGATGAAGACCAAAGCCAGGGAAAGTGGGAATTGTTGTAACTTAAATGATACGGCAATTTCCATCTCGTGATTTTCGTTCTGGACAGAGAACAAGCGAGTTTGTGGCAGATTGGCGCTCGCAAAGAGCTTGTTGCGTGCTTTTCCACCATTGAACCATTGCCAATGGTTATTTCCGGGGCGGCTCTCTGGGCCACTTCTCCCTTGAGCTTGGGGGCTTAGGGGCTTACCTCGTAGGGGCTTAGAAGGGGGGTTGCCACCCTCTCACACCTCTGCACCTCACGCCATCGCCTGGCAAGTCTGGACTTTGGTCACCCATTTAGTTAAACTTTGGGTAATGGGCTGCTTGGCATTGTTGCCCCTGATTTCCTGATTCAACCTGATAGCCTTTGACAGCCCTGATAGCGTCTGGCAGCCCTGATGCAACTGCCCGTACAAGCCCGGACTTACTTTGGGGGATCGAGATGAGCGCCGTTGAACTCTCAGCTCGTGGCACCCACTACGCGACATAGTATGAAAACACTGGCCTCCCCCTCCTCCAGCCCAAAATCCTTATAGTATCATCTCCTTCGCTGAGTCTTCTGGTCAATTTGTCACTGGTAACCAGCTTCTTTTGTATCACGTTGCATCGACAACATTCACATTCGTTTCTCTTTCCTATCTCTCTTCATTGTCATTTGCATCCCTTTTGATTCACCATTACCCCGGTTTCTCGCAATCTCGCCGGCGGCGATCTGAAGAACCCTGTACTTTTGTGCCTATAGGAATTCCGGCGACTGGCCTGCGTCGTCACAATGGGCCTCAACAACCACTACCGCTCCGTTTCCACCAACGACGAATCCTTCCCACTCTCGGAAAAGAGTCAACCAAGAGCAGGCTGGGGTAAACAGTCCATCTGTCTTTCTATCGCGACCGGCACGCTGTTCATTGCCATCATCGTCGCCATCTTTTCTCTGATTTCTTCTGTATTTGTCTCCAACACCAACACCACAAAATCCGATGCCCTCTCCGCCTCGACCACCAGCGCAGCCGCAGTTGCCGCTAGCACCTCCGCTGTCGCAGTCACTCCTCCAGTCGACGACTCGATAAAATCCGCTGAGGGTTCCGACGGCTCGACTCAAAAAGCAGAAATCGATCACTGCGGCTTTTCCCCCGAAGAGGCAAGAGAACGTGGCTGCATCTTTGACGTGATGATGCAACTCTGGACTCCCGCAGCCTGTTTCGATGAAACCCTCTCGAATCGCTTCCTGGAGGTCGGCAACTGGACCTGGTACGCTGATCCATCTGCCAGTCACATCTACACGTTGGAGGAAATGAGAAAGGGCGAACACGATGCGGTCTATGTCGCTCAAGATTACCATGTCACTCACTGCATCTACGCCTGGGAGAAATTGGTCCGGTCTATGAGGAATCAACAACCCCTCATCACCGAGTTGATCTCTTATGACCATGTCATCCACTGCAGACATAAAACCCTCCAGAGAACCGACGGAGGCGATTCCATCCGTGGTGTCCGTGCTCCTACCGGATATACACAGTGCGCACCATACGACACCTGGAAGGACCATCTCCCTCCTAATGAGCACTCTTCAACAGACTGAAGATGAAGATAAAGACATTTTGGATCGGCCCTCATTTTAGCGTTTCGCAGTTGGAGTTCGAATATATGGTCAGTTCATATTGGCACGTAATTCTCAGATCACCAATATTTTTTTTTTGGAAATGGACAGGTCTCGGACGCGCGCTCGAATGTGCACAGTCCCATGGGGGATCTCAACTTTCAAAGTCAAGGTCGCCCACGGACATTGTGCGGCCACCTAAGCTCCAGAAGATGGTGCCATGGTGCATCTCCAGACCTCAGGATTTCGGGATCGCACCAATCGAACGAACGACCAGACTGTCGGCGCGGACGGATCAGTGTATTGAGTATTTGATGTGGGGGGTTATTGGACTGTGCTTGGATTTCAGATATGTACCACTCGCAGCTAGGCTTTCTGAAGACTTGCCAACCTCAAATGGATGATGCAAATGACTTTTACATTCGATCGAACGATGTATTCGCCTGTGAATAACTCTTGCATACAGCGCATTCCTACTTGCTCCGAGGTCACTCGACCTCTCGAACTACATCCAATTTCTACAAGAGAGGTAGTTGGTAAGGTCTACCGAGTACTTGTCCTCCCCATCGGTGCGAGCCTCTGTGTATGGATTCCCAATTAATCACCTACGTATGTGCCTTGTCCGCGTTCGACACCAAAAACACGCGTCGGCAATAGAACCTCCAGTCAATCTATCGATAACGAGGCAATTTATTAATCATCTGTGAACACTTTCCTTTTGGGGCCGACGTGTGTGATCGGCAAGATTTTTCAACTGCAGATCAAGCTTTCGGTGATGCCATCAAAACCTACTGTGGTGTCTGGGCACTTATCCATCGCTAGCTCAAAACTCTCCCTACTCGCCTGCAGCCTGCTTCAGGAGTTTCCTGCCTTCTCAAGAAACGTTGTTCACGGACATGTGGTCTAGAACAACGGTCGTGCATGGGATGCGACAAGCCGTTTACCTCCTTCAGGGACGCCCCCTTCTTGTCGCAACGATTGGTCCACCCATTCGGCGATTGTGCGAAGCTGGAACGATTGAGGATAACAAATATTTTGTATGCTGGTCGCCCGTACAGGGGTTCGTTTGTGGCTTGCGTCGAGGCCAGCTTTGGACCAGCTGAAGGCGCGCGAATCGTCCCACGAATGTGCAAGTCGGTTTTGGACAGGATGCTAATAAAGGCGATGTCGTCGTCACTCCCATCGAGAGGGGCCATTCCCTGCAGCGACAGTCTACCGCTGAAGAGGCCCTACGCTACTAAAAACACACCCTCTCTTAGCTGAGAGCTCTACGAACTGCTTACATTCCAGTTTTCTTCCCCCAGTTTGCCTGACACCGACCAGCTGCGAGGATGAGTGAATCAACAGAACCCGCCCACGATGGCGTGGACGAGTTTGTGGTGGATCCTATTCGCGTGTCTCTCCTGGCGACCATCGACGACGAGGACACCGCCTACAAGGACCCAAACAAATTGGATCGCAACTCTCTCTTCGAAGCAAAGACCATTGACATATGGGAGACAGCCGGCCGGGGCGCGCAGATTGTGGATCGCAGTTATCCGGTATCGCGAAGACTGCCCGCAGACCTTTTCGAGGCGTATCACCCTGCGATACCACGCGGGAGCCGTCTGGCTCTTCGTCTCTTGTGCACGCGGCCGGCGCTGGGGGGCAACCAGACGGCCAAGCACGACGACCTGGGGCCACCGGGGGATCGACAGATCAATTACCTCCCCTTTGTACCCGCGGACGTACAGGAGCTGGTCCATCAATGGGATCTCAACCGCGAATACACCTGGATGAGACTGAACGCGCGAGAAGTAGGCAATTTTCAACGCAAGACGGTGTGGAGTTTCGATGTCGAGCCACCCAGAGCAGTCCGAATGGGTATGTGCATATTGGCGGAGGCTGGTAGAACGATCCGCATTTTCGCATGCAGAACAAGCTGAATTGAATTGCTCCCCAGGATTGGTGATCCATTTCCCCTTTGTCCTCCGTCCAGCCCGACGAGCCAAATATCTGGCCGACACAAAGGGAGGCCGCACTGCCTCGCGGCGATCGCTCAAGTCGACGTACAATCCGCGCCGCGATGACCCTTTCCTATGGTCCTTTGCCATGTCTCATTCTCTGCGCGACGGCAAGACCCGTTGCCTCCTCGACGGGCTCACGGACTGGGCAATGGGCGACGTGTCGCGCCGGCTGCTGAAGGCGTCGCAGCAGTGGTACCTACATCCGTTGCACGTGCCGGTGATCCTGCTGAATATCTTCTTCGACCACGCGGCCTGGGAGGTGAACCGGCTGTGCGTCGAGGTCGGGCACTTTGAGTTCCTGTCGCGCGACGCCCAGATCGGCTCGCTCCAGCACTTCGACGCTATCACCACGCAGCTGCAGTACGTGTACCGGGACCTGGACTTCCTGCAGTCGTTGGCAAAGTTCCTGCTCGAGACCATGGAATTTCTCGAGCAGAAGATCTTCCTGCGCGAATGGGACAGCAGAGCTGGAAGGGATGACGGTACCGTCGTTTCGTACAGGGCTTACGTGCACCAGACGAACCCGCACATGGAAGAGAAATTGATGAATATCTCACATTTGATCGACAATAACCTGTCAACGTGCCAATACTTACAGGCTAGGACGAAGGACGCTCTGGATTTTGTAAGTCTTTCTTCCATCTTCCCATGGGCCACCCTTTCCAGCGAGTCTGGTCCTGGTTATTGCTTTCCCTGCCTCTCTTTGGGCCATTCTGCCGCGCGTATCGTCTACGAATGCGCATGCGGACAACCCTCGAACCCCCAGTAGCGATTCTCGCACTTTGATTCTTTCCTCTATTTGAGGGTATCTAATTAATGCCCCCGTACGTGTCTACGTGCCGCGTTGGGGGAAATAGATCAAAGGTAAAATCTCCTTGCGCGACAACGAATCGAACCGGGAGGACGCCGACTCCAACAAAGCCATGTCGTTCCTGCAGATGGTCTTCCTACCTGCGACCTTTGTGGCGGCCATCGTGTCCATGAACTTTTTCGACCTGACCACCTCCCCGCCTCGCGTGAGCGGCTACATCTGGATCTTCTGGCTCGTCAGCCTGGGGCTCACGGCGCTGGTGCTGATCATTTACTTCTTATGGCGGTGGAAGGGCAAGGTCAAGGCTGCGGACGAGCGGAGAGAGGCACGGTTGCGCGAGAAGATGCTGGGGTGGGAAGAAGGTGGCGGCGGAGAGGCAAGTGCTGCGGACAGTGATGGTGGTGAGGATGGTAGAAAGCGTGGGAAGCGGAGGAGTCGTCGGAGACGGGGGACGGGACGAAAGGACAGGCGGATGACCAGCGACGCGAGCGCCGATGATGGCGAGGCGGCTACAACGACTGAGAAGAGAAAGGAGAAGCCCGAGTTGGTCATGTAGTTTGCTGGGTAATTACTGTAGGCCAACGCATTTTGTCCCAGAGTACGCATAGCCCAACGGACCAACGAGGCAACACCTTCGGAGATCGCGGGCGTCACAGACATACGAGTTGCTCAATACAGAGTGATAGAAATCCCAAAGATGCGATGCAGACGTAACAATGAGTGTTGGAGTGAGAGGGAGAGTGAGAAGCCATCGAGTACTCGCTCGCTAGAGGCAGATGCGAAGTTGGATGGTCAAACACCAACCACCCGAATTAACGTCGGGGCACCGAGTCTGGTGATGCAGTAGTTATAACAATTTATTACTTGTGCAAGGGTAGTTTGGGGGCGGCATTCCGGCCCGCAGCGGGGCGAGGCTCCAAGGTTCACCAAGGCCTAATAATCATGTGGATAGACGTGGCTGGGATCTCCAATCTATCCGTCATACTAGAAAAAGAGTAGCCAGAGCACATAACCTGCACATTGCACCACCAAGCAACCCAACCCCTCTGCACTTTCTTCTCCCCCCGTTCCTTTCTCAACCAAGCAACTTCTCTGTGGCTTTTTCTTTGCTTGCTTGTGTTGGCTGCATCGCATCGTCTTCTAAACAGTCGCTCGTTCCAGACTTCCCAGCAGCTTCTTTTCCGCAGTTGTGTGTGTTGTGCGGATTCTATCTTATCCTGCGAGAACTCCATTGGTGCCCCGCAATCAGCTGCAGCTACAGCCATTTCCACTTCCACAGCCGAGCTCTTGAGACGTCTTCGTGCAGATTGGGCGGCACGCACGGAGAGGCAAGAGGAAGAGAGAGAGAAACTAAGCAGAAACCCAGACCACACAAGAGGAGGAGAGGCGGTTGCGGTTCGATTGAGTGTCCTTACAATCCACGGCATTCTCCCTTTGGGGGAGAGTTGGGGCTCAATCAATGGCGCCGACGTCCTACATCCGCAGCGTCAGCGGCTCGAGTCAACACCTACGAGCCGTGGTTTCTCGCTCCGTGTCGTCGAGCTTCGAGGCAGCAGCCTCCCCAAAGTCCTCTCTCATTACCACTTCCAGAACTTCCGTTGCCTCCTTCTTCGCACTCATCCTGAAGGGGGTGCTACAATTCTCGAAACGCACGCTCCTCACCTCATCCGACCCTTCAAAACCGTCCCGCCGGGATCTCGTACAACCCGTGTTCATCCAACCTTCACCTCATCTCGAGAAACGACAGAGCGCCGTCCTCGCAATCCCGACAACCTATGCAGGCCTCAACTCCGGTCCTGCCCCCGGTGCTTTGGTAGGCATTGTCCTCGGCTCCGTGGGTGGCTTCATCCTTATCCTATATATCATTCTCTCCCTGTTCCGCTTCTCCGGATGGGGAGGCGGCGGTGCGGTCGTGGCAGAAGAAGTCATCCGTCATCATCGAAGAAGACCGTCCCGGAGCAGCCCAAGCAGTAGAAGCCACAGTCAGCCCATGAGCCACGCCAGCACTCACAGACCAGAAAGAATGCGGGAAGAAACGGTGATAGTGGAAGAACATTTTGATCCGAGCGTCGAGGAGGACATTGTTGAAGTCATTGAAGAGCATTCGCCAGAGCGGTCGCCGCCGAGGAAATCCAATCGCAGAAGTGGCTTTAGGACTGTGGACCCGGCGGAGTTTGGAGGTGGAGGGAGACCGATGAGGAAGGTGTCGAGGAGATGATGCAAGAATGGAGATTTGTTATTTGTGAGACATTGCCTATTTGCAGTTTGATGTAATGAAGCGATGGAGTTGGTACGGTATGGGATAGCATATGCGGGATTGTCGCTCCTGTTCTTGTGTGATATATGCATGCATCTGGTGAACATCACAATTTGACAAGCAAGCATTGGATTTGGGCAGAGCACAAATTGTCTGGCGAGCACAACGGTAACGGTATGGGTACTCGGTTCTGTTGTTGTGAAAGCGTCCTTCCTGCCCATTCATTCATATCCTACGGTGCGGTGATATGCTAGAAGCTGAGCCTGCCAATTACAGTGATATTGTACCATTGTCAGCCTGTCAGATTGTCAGATTATCGGATAATCAGTCGATCAATCAATCAGATAAAGACAAGTTCTCGGTGCTCGTTCCTATCCGTGTCGCCCCTTGAACGTCCTGATCCCTTTTTTTCTCTCTTCATTCCAAGATACCACTCCCCAATGTTGACGAGGTCGTCTGATTTGTGCCCTGCCGACGGGCTGCTTGCTACCTGTTACAGTTCAGGGACACGACACGACGCAGAACTATTCGACGGAGCAGCATGAGAGTGGCGAACTGGCAACTTGGCACACTGGGCACATTCGCACACCGGGCTACAAAATGAAGCAGACAGTGAGTGATGGTAGGTGGCTGAAAAAAAAAGAAAGAACCAAGTCTCAATTCCAAGATCTCCTTTTGTCTTGGGTATGTCTGGGATGAACCAGGTACCAGCATTCAGTATACTCGGGATACAGTCCGACCGCGCGCTCAATCAATCCCATCGTTTCTTGTGTTTCACGCGCAACAGGGCCTCGGCGTTGCCGTGTGCAATCATTTCCAACTGCTCGGATGAGACGAGGCCACTACTCTCAAGGTCCCGCATGAACTGCAGGCCGTTCTCGTTGGTCGCGAACGGATAGTCGACGCTGTACAGGACGCGGTCGGGCCGGGTGTTGCGCAGGATGCAGGCCATTGGGTTGACGCTCCAGTCGCCGCTGGTGGTGATCCAGATATTCTCGTCCCACACGGTCTTGAAGGAGCGCTGGCGCGGGCCCCAGCGCGGCGAGAGCTGCATGACGCGCTCGAGCATGAATGGCAGCATCTCGCCCATGTGGCCGATGATCATTTTGAGCTTGGGGAGTCGGTCGAACAGACCCGACGCGAACAGCCGGAGCACGTGCACCGCCACGTCCGAGTGCCAACCGAACGCGGACGAGGAGAGCGATGTCGTCGCCTCGCTGGGGATGTTGTCCCCCGCGTACAGCAGCGACGTCACCTCCTGGGTGGCCCAGGTCGGATGTAGGTAGATGGGCACGTCGAGGTCTTGGGCGGCTTGAAACATGGGCAGGTATGCTTCTCCGTCGAAGTAGGTGCCATCCGCGGTGTGGTTGTCGATCAGGGCGCCGACGAAATCAAGCTCCTTGACGCAGCGGGTCAGTTCGGCGGCGCATGCTGCGGGTTCCGAGATCGGGAGGACCGCGAAGCCGGCGAAGCGGTCGGGGTGCTTCTTCACTGCCTCGGCGAGCTGATCGTTGGCCGCTCTGCATCGAGACGCCGACATGCCGCCAGGCGCGTGGGAGACGATCTGCAGCGAGACCTGGCCGGCGTCCATGGAGCTCAAACGGAGTTCACCCAGGTCGGCGAGCTTCTCCTTCAGGTGCGGAACATGCTTGAGCTGTTCTGCGTAGGTGCCCGCAAAGTCCGTGAGGACGGCTTTGGAGAAGAAATGCTCCTCCAGAGTGATCAGTGGAGGGACCATGATTGATGTCGTTGCTCGCTGTAGGAGGTGGATCTGATGTCGGACTCGCACGCAGACGGTGTTTCTTCAGAATAGAGTGCAAAGTAGGGCTCTTCTCAAAGTCCCACAGAGGGTCTTAAGAGGGACTTACCATGATTTATGTATCGGCTCATGAATCAATGAGGTCGGAACTGAACTGGCTGATGCCGATGGGAATTTGACGCGGGGTCGTCAGAGAAGCGAAGGATGCCGGATCAAGTAGCTGGCTTCACTCGTCACCCCTTTGCCATCTCACCGACACAGGCTTTGCGCGAATCATGAATCGAAGGATGGGAAACCTTTGGGTATTTGAGGCAGATCACGTTGACTTGTAAAAGGATGCATCGGCGGATGTCCGCCGTGCAGTCAAGAAATCAAAAAACATGGCCAGCCACACCAGGGATGGATGTTTTGGGACTGTGGAATGCGCGGCGGGGGTGATGATTCAAGACTGCGCCGTGGCGCATATGCGGATGAATCCGAGTCCGACAGATCAGCGACATCACCTCCCTCCAGACTACTCATAGTCTATGCATTTGAATCAACAGCCTTGAGAGGCTCGAGAGGCTCAGGATGGTCTCAATCACAAGACTCCCCTCACTTCTCCCGGACGAGCCAAAAGACCATCACGTCGGCAACCCGCCTCACGCCTTCCACAACCCGTGGCCCTCATTCAACCCCAGCCACCACAGTCTGGGGAATATCGTTAGAGTTCGCTTTGGGCGAGATCGACCACCGTTTGTCCCAGTTCCCACTGACCGCTCCGAGCTGGTCCCTGTGCAGAAGGTCGACTTTGCCATTCCTCATCCGGGCCCGAAAGTGACGTGGATCGGCCATGCCAGTTTCTTGCTACAGACGTTCAAGGAGGAGTCCGCTCCACGAGGCATCAACATCCTCTGCGACCCGGTCTTTTCAGAGAGAACATCGCCCTTCACATGGTTTGGACCGAAGCGATATACACCCACCCCGTGTACGTTGGAGGAGCTGCTTGACGCCGTCGAGATAGACCTCGTCGTCATCAGCCACAACCATTACGATCACGCCGATGCCGAGACTTTGAAGGCGGTCTGGGCTAGAAGGAGATCAAAAGTTCATTTTCTCGTGGGCCTGCATAATTCGCGCTGGCTGACTCCCATGGGAATCGACCACTCGTCCATCACTGAGCTGGACTGGTGGGAGGGGGTCGAGATCGACGTCGAGGGTGTCGGCAAGGCTCGCATCACATGTACACCCACACAGCACTTCTCACGACGCAGTCTATTGGACGCCAACCACGACCTGTGGTGTTCGTACGCTATCCAGGACCTGCAAGGGTCTGGCAAAAAGATTTACTTTGCTGGAGATACCGCCTATCGATCGATTCATTCCATGAACATGTCCCGAGAAGAAGAAGACGCGCAGCCTGTGTGTCCAGCTTTCAAGCAGATTGGCGACCTATTGGGACCGTTCGACCTCTCTCTCTTGCCAATTGGGCTATGTGAGCCGAGGAACTTTATGTCCAACGTCCATGCCAACTCATGGGACTCTATTCGCATACACCAAGACGTGAAAAGCAGGAGATCGATTGGGATGCATTGGGGGACCGTCCGTGGCGGTTTGTCTCAGTATTACGAAGATGTCCGCACCCCGGTGAAGCACTGGAGGATGGCTGCCGAAGAGGCGGGCTTGAAATGGGGAGAAGAGATTGGTGTTTTAGACATTGGGGAGACGTTGACATTGGACTGATCGCGGCATGATCTGTCTTCCCTCCTCTTACGGCGCCCGTCTAGAAGCTGTGTAGCACTAGTAATGCAAAATCATGTCCCTCATAATACCGAAGACATGCATCTAGGCATCAGTATTTCTTTGTGAAGAGGAGCAAATCTTGTTCTATTTCCATTTCTACCCAGTGCTCGTCTGCAAATCAGCTTCATCCGCTGCTTTCAGCCGAAGACGACCGTGCTTTCTCCAGGCACCCCCAGTTTTAACGCCGGGGGCTTGCAGCAACCGTGGCCAGCCCCTCAGGCCCCCTTGAACCCACCCGCCGCAACACTATTGGCGCCTTTAACTGTAAACAGCGATCGCCCATCTCGTGCCTTAGTGACTAAGACGCCACCAACTCTGAAAATCAAGCTCAACGCTAATGCATGATACTGACATGCCTGCTTGGATTGGCTCCCAGTTTTTTCCTTTGCTTGATATCCGCTCGGTATTATTCCTTCACACCCTGCGACAACTTGTACGAGCACGCCCACACGCTCACATCCTCAAACGCTGTGTCTCCGCGGCCATTTATGGATCCGCTGCTGCGCACACATGCGCCAAGATCATCGGTGCCTGCTCATTCAGTGTCCTGCAGTCCCTCCTAACCCTGGCCGACGGAGCCACCCCGAAACCAAATCCAGACATGGGTCCCCGTCTCTCCTAATACTTTGCTGCAGAGCCGAACTCCTGATGTGGTTCAACTCCGACTATACCCATAACCAGCCCGCTAGAATACATAATATGAGGCGTCCTTCGACCAGGATCACGTCTCACATGCCTAGAAAGCCATTCAAAATATAAAGTCCAAAGTGCATCCCTCGAACTGTCTGCGAGGGACATTCCAATCACCCTTTCCACACCTCGTATTTCTTTCCTTCGTCCTCCTCACCCACCTCCCGGGTGAGACATCCACGCAAATACTCGGTACTTTGAGTAGATACTTTGTCAGAAAAGCAATTGATTTCTCTGTGCACACGACAACCCATACCAAGCAGCCCTGAGCCTTTGAACAATCACCGCCGAAAATATGTACAAACTGCGCGCCCTCTGTTCTCAGTCCTTTAGACTGCCCGCTCCAACTCTGACGGAGAAGAACCTCCCCGACCAAACGGGCAAAGTCTACCTCATTACAGGGAGCAATACCGGGGTTGGATATCAAGTCGCCAGCATCCTCTACTCACACAATGCCAAAGTCTACATTGCCGCGCGCACAGAATCCAAGGCTCTAGCCGCCATCGACTCGATCAAACAAGAACACCCCAAGTCTCAAGGCAAACTCGAATATCTGTTCCTAAACCTGTCCGACTTGAGCACTATCAAAGCTAGCGCCGAGGACTTTCTGTCTCGTGAGGACAAGCTGCACTGGCTGGATAACAATGCCGGCGTCATGGTCCCTCCGGTGGGCTCCAAGGGCGCCCAAGGCATGGATCTGACGTACCAAACAAACATCCTTGGCCCGTTCCTCTTCACAAAACTCCTACTCCCCATCCTGAGGCGCACAGCAGAGGACGAACCCAAGGGCACCGTGAGGGTTAGCTGGGCGGGCAGTCTTGCCGTGGTTCTGCAGAGTCCGACAAATGGGATGCTGTGGAAGAAAGGTGCCAACGGCGAAGAGACACTGGATGATACGCACCCCAACATGTATACGTATGGAGTGAGCAAGGCCGCCAATTATTTCTTCGGCACCGAGTTTGGCAAACGGTACGGTGCGCGGGATGGAGTTTTGCACAACGTGAGTTGTTCCTCTTTACTCCCCTATTTCGCCCTGTTAGTCTCAGCTTCCACTACATTGGATTTATGTTGTATCTTATCTGCGATCAAGAAACTAACAAGTGAGTTACTAACCAGTCATACAACCCGGGCAACCTGGCCTCGGACCTCCAACGCCACGCCAACAACCAATGGCCCAAACTCGCCGTCTGGATCCTGCACAAACTGCTCCTCTACCCAAGCATCTTTGGCGCCTACACCGAGATCTACGCCGGTCTGTCCCCCGATCTGACCCTGGAGACGGACCAAGGCGGGTACATCATCCCCTGGGGCCGCAGGGGGTCTGTCCGCCCGGACTTGATCGCCCAGGCGCAGAGGGACGACGGCGAGGCACAGAAGCTGTTTGACTGGTGTGACCACGTCACCAAGGCGTTTTCATAAAAAAAAGTCCAAGCTTGGCCTTTAGTCTCGGGGTTTCGATGGGGTGTTTTTTCTTTCTTTCGAGTCTTTTGTCCCTCCTGTACCTGTTGTAGATAGGGTTGGCTGAGCTGAGCTTTGCTTAGCTCTAAGCTTAAGCTTAGGCTGGAAGTTGGGGGCGAGGCTGAGGTGGCTCCCTCGCCCCTTTGTGTTCCGCCCGGCTCATCGATACTGAATGTTCATGGACGCCGTCAGAACACTTCTCCTGCTGCCGGCATGGCGTGCGGCCTATGCTGGTAAATATGTCACCATCATATTCTACATTTTTCACCGCGTGGGAAGAGGAAGGGCAGGGCAGTAGAGAGGGGAGGGGGCCAGGGGGGTGAAGGGAGGGAGATATCATTGATAACGGTAAAAGGTCGGTCAACTCTGGAATTCCTGTCGATTGTGGCTATACTCGTACATGCAGGGAACAGACAGACAGCATCATTTCCCATTTCTCGTTACAAGTACCTTCTTCCAAACGCCAAGACAGGGATTCTCTCCATCTCATCTCCATCTAATGACTCTCCCAGACCTGCTGGCCCATGGAAACCAGCCGGTTAAATAGCTCGTCTCGCTCCTTGATGGCCATGGCGCGGTACACGGAGCCGTCCTTGGCGACGATCTCGATGCCGTCCTTGACTTCCCTCTCGGTCGCCCAGCCGACCACAATCTTGCCCTTCCATCCCAGGCCGCCGACTTTCTTCACCTCGGCGATGTCCGTAATGGGTACGGCCCAGTCGGGGTCGCGGGGCATGCTCTCCACAGTTTCGTCGTCGTCGAGATGTGTCGTGAAGTAGACGCACGGCGACGCCGGTCTGCGGCCACTCGGAGGTGAAACGGAGCTGTCAATGTAGACGGCGCCCTTGCGACCGTGGTATCTCGCCCGGAATTCCACGGGGCCTTCCCTCGGCTTGCGTTTCATTTCTGCCCGCGAAGGGAGCACGCCCAACTTCTCCTTTGCGTGGCCGGAACCCATGGTGGCTCGAACGGTGTCGGTGGTCAGTTTGGTTTCTACCGCACCGGCCGTGCTGGTCTTGAATACGGACAAGATCTTGGCGCCGATTCCGCCCTTTTTCTTCTTCGGTTCTGGAGTCTCTGCACCTTCGGTACCACTAGGTTGATCGACGGTGATGACATCTTCAATCTCGGAATGTGACGCGTCGAGTCCTCCTTCAGTGATTGCATGCTTGTCAAGGTCAGCGGGCTTGTCCGCCGGCGGCTGAGATGACTTTGGTGGTGGTGGCAGGGGAGCACGGTTTGCCTCGCCAATGCGCAGTAAAGTGATGGTAAGCTGAGCATTTGTCGGTACGCCCTTGAGGAGAGTGTTCCGGATCTCGAGGTACTTCGGCCAATCTGGAATCTTCTCGTTCAACAATTGAACGCCGCGTCTGATCAACGGATCCGAGAAAAAGCCAAAGCCGGCAAAGAATGTCGATCCCTTCATGACCCATTGGGCTGGTGTGACCAAGGAGATCAGAAGTATTGGCACAAAAATCGCGCCGAGCTGGAGACGGTTTCTTTGCGAAAAGGGCGGAGTAGGTGACAAGGCGTTTGCGAGACGTTCCCACATGTCAGAGACCTCTCCGATACCATGCATGATGGGTCGGACTTGTTTCCACACGGCGTCCTCCATGGGTTTCTTTGTCTTGTCCTGAACGGCATCGGGATCTCCGCCTTGAGCAGCCGAAGAAGCATCCGCCGCGGCTGTAGCGATCTTGGTCGGGTCGGGCACTCCTTGATCCAGAGTCTTGCTGCCACCCTGTTCGTCGGGGCTCGCTTGATCATGTCGACCAGCAGCGCTGGAGATGGCTACAGACGCAATACCCGAGACCAAGTTACTAGCTTCTTGTTCCACCGCCTCGCCCTTGTATTTCTCGGGAGCTCCAGTAACACTGTCGTGGCTCCCCAACACACCAGCCCCTGGTTTCTGGACACCACCCGACTTGTGGCTGACCAGAGCAAGGGGCGCCGGAGGGAACAAGATGTTCCGCGATCGAGGGACGGTGATGAGGACGATGATCGTCGTCACCAAGGTGGGCACAATCAAGTCGAAGATCCAAGCCACGAAGTAAACGGCAGCGAAACAAGCCGTCCGACGGGGTTCGCGCCACGACCTCAATCTTGCGATATGTTTTCCAAAAGCAATCAGCCCGACAATGACGGTCATGTAAAGACGCTCAATGTTCGAGCGAAGTTTGTCCGGGGAGAATTCCTCGTCTTCGGCAGTGTTGAGGTCCAATCCTCCAGGAGGAGCCTGAGGGATGGCTTTGACATGGTACATTTGCTAGCAATGCTCAGTAAGTGTTCGTCTCAACTGGGGAAGATTCGAAGCATCCAAGAACTGGAATACTTGCCTTGTTGAATCTGCGGATGAGCGTCCACAGCTCGTCGTTGGGAAGGCCTCCGACCAAGTTATCTACACCCACAGCGTTGGCTTGCCATCCTAGATTAGTTGTTCTGTCCTCCTTACCGGCCCTCTGAACTGCGCCCTGGACCTCATGGTCTCCCGTTACTCCCGTCGCCAATTGGTGACTTGTGGTGGTATTCTGGGCCAGGGGAGCGTTGGCGGTCACTGCGGGGGGTTTTGGTGCTTGGGTGTTCGGCTGGCGGAACTCTGGATCAGGCTTCTCCTCCGCTGGCGTGTCGCCGCCATCGCGGAAGACATACCCTGGGGTGGGCATATCGAAGAGGGTGTGGAGAGTCAGACACGAGGGGGGGAGTTGGTTGCGAGGATGGGACTTGGTATGAGAGAAGGAAAGGATCTTGAGCTTTGAAGCAGAACGAGGAGGAGAAGAATGCTGGGACGTGTGCTTGAGTAGGAGTGATGAATGCTGCTCCCACCCCGTTAGTGTGTGGCATGCATTTACCTACCTACGTCATTGGGCTTGTTGGTGGTGGAACGCGCCTCTGAGCAGATGGCACATGTTCGTTCCTCCATCTTCCAATCCAAGTACAAGTACAAAGCTTCCCCGGTTGTCGCCCACCACGGCCAATCGATCCTCATCGCCAATCGCCTTGTCTTGTTCGTGGTCGGCTCTTTTGGCCCTCCCAGAAACTTATATTCCCAGTACCTACGGAGCCTCTAGTGACGCCTAACCACTCGTGGTTTAGTAGTCAGGTCCACTTCCACGTCCAAATTCCCTGTTCCTCATCATGCTCTTTACCAGAATGAGCTCGGATTCCCATTCGGATATGCATACAAAAAGACAATTTGGTGTTGATGACGACACCTCCTGATAGAAGATTCTCCATTCAGTGCACATGATTATATTCTGTCTCAATGTGCTCACTTGTGCTCACTGTACTATTTTGCGCTCAAGCATGATATTTCTCGACCATGTCCTGGTTCCATATCGTAGAAGATGTCCGGTGTATATGTCCTTGATGCTTCGTATCTCATATCCAAGCTCTTGACCAAACTCCAATGGTAATGTCATTGCCCAAAATATCCTAACCCAGTGCCAGGTCCATCCCATTCATCGCTGAGCTCGTCGCCGCGTTATGCCACCGAATAATATGGCTCATGTAACGGTCCAGCCTGTGCCATTGTATATGGCTTGCCATGCACGTATTTACTCCTCATGGGCTCCTCGTCGATCGCACAGTGAATCTGTCCGTCTCTCCCTCTAAACCACCCCAGTCCGTATCTTTTGTTGATGCCTTTCAGTCTCTTTTCCATCGCCTTGTTGTTCAGCGTCTCGGTATCAACAAAATCCGTCAGCATGTTGCTGGCGTAGATGAAGGCCAACACCGCCGCAATTGTGGACGGCTCGCGTGGTAGGAACGGGTGTCGCCGTCGCCAATAGACCAGCGATGTTGTGAAAATGACAAAAACCAAAATGAATGCAGAGAGAACGAGCGAAGTCCAGAACGACACGAACGTCTCGTCGCCGTTGGACCGGTCCTCGCCGCGACTTCCCACGTGCATAAAATCCTCCGAGTTGACCGAGAAGGAACTCACAGTCACCGCCAGGATATCCAACAATACCGAGGACACGCCGACGAGTGTCAGCAGATAGTGGCGATTACCGAGCGCCTTAAAGGGCATGATCCCGTACATAGTCGCCTGGTAATCCAGAGTCAGGCTGTTTTCAGGCCTGGCGTTTCCCCGCGAAAGCTGATAGAATGGTTCCATAAGTCGGACATCGGCCTCAAACGTGCTGAAAAACAACTTCAAGCCCGTAGCCACGAGAATGGGAAGCCACGGCGCAGCGTTCGGTACCACCCGCGCCTTGGTCAGCGTTATGACGGGTACCGACACCAGACAAAAGACCATAAAGGCAAGAAACGGAATGGCCGCTTGCATCTGCAGCATCAATGGATGCGGACTGGTGAGCTTCCTCTCGCTATCCTGTGGCGGGTCACTCTGCGAGCTCCATTCGCCCTGCCAGATGGAAGATTTGTAGAGCACATATCGTCGATGTTCCAATCGTTTGTGGATCTTTGCGCAGTTTGCTTCGTCCAGCCCCGCGAAATCCTGGAGAATATGCGACTTGGTGGCCATGGATGCAATGCCAGCTATACCTTTTGGGTCGCTGAGGAGTCCGGACTTGCGCCGCAACTGAACGAACAGGATCACAAGCACGATTGCCACAAACACATAGCTTGCGGACAAGGTTCGAGACCAGACTGGTGAGATTCGGACCCAATAATGCTTTTCATCACCAGGGCATCCATCGACATTACATTTGGGATCAGGGTTCGTGACAAATGTGATTGAGGGATTTTGCAGAGCAGGCGAGACCATCGAGGCAACAATATTGCCCGTGGTCGAGAAGAACACCGCCCATTGTCGGAGTCGAAACGCCTTGAACGGAACAAAGTATTGGAACATGGTCAAGTGATCCAAGTTCAGCGAGGCAGCTGCAGAGGCACCTCGAGGTCGTGATAATTGATAAAAAGGTTCGAGACGGCGAATGTCGAAATCCATGATCGAGAACAGAACTGCGTAGACAATGGTGATCATCGTGGGAAGATCTGGATTTGGTCAGCAGAGTGATAAGAAGGTTGGCATTGCTCACTTACACTTCCATGCAAAGAAGTCCCAGGTCGAAATTTCCGCCACAGCATCGAAGGCGAGGATCCCACTGTGTTCTCTGACGCTTTTGAAGGACCGCTGACACAGGTATTCCTGAAAGCCCGCCAAACCCAGTGCTAGGGCCATCAAGGACAAAATGTACCAAGGCCGCATTGACCATGGTTTCCAGTTGGGGATATCAGGATCATCGGGGAAAAAGTAGCTCTTCGTCTCCTGGGGCAGCACACTCTGCCTCATGGACATGGACTCGAACGTGCGACTCTGGCGATTATCTGCGTTGCCTCCATCCAAGGTGCTCAAGTCAACCACTTCTTCGATCTCGACAATCATCTTCTTCTTTTGCGCAAGGTCCTGGCCCAGGTCGCGCACGGTCTTGCTCCGATCAATGCCTGAGCTCCGGGCATTGCGCATGCCATCAGTTCCTCTTCGAGCTATCCGCGTAGGATCGCGCCTCAGTTGCACGCCCACATCCTTCATTCCATCTCCCACCGACGCACGCTTCTGGACGAACGTGCGAAAATCAGGTTTCCCATCCTTTCTGGCCACGCTCACGTACTCGGTTTCCTCATCTTGGAGCCTCGCGGTGTCAGGATTTGACAAGTCAGTGAGCTCCCAGCCCATGCCCTCCAACGACGAAAGATCCACAGCAGCAGCTTGGCCCTCCTCACTGTCGCCCAAGGTCGCATACTCCCTGCCTTGAGACCGCTTGGTGGATCGAAATGTGCCTCGTGACATGGGGTTGATTTTGGTGGTCAATCGTCGAAGTACTGACGAGGCAGCGGATTGCCCTGCACCGAACCCGCGAGCCTTTGTGGGCGTTAATGGTTCTATCATGTCGTACGACTCATCTCGCATGCTCTCCGTTTCATCTATCGACTTCAATCGCTCGTCTCCGGAATATCCCCGTGAATGACGCCGATGGTAAGGAGCGGATTGTGTCACACCGATCGTGACGGCACTCCCGGGCGAACCTTTTCCACTAAGAAGTTCAACATGATCTGGGGCTGATGTTTGCGACAGAGGCATGGAGCCTAGATCAAGCTGGTTATGGTCCATACTGGCGATTGTAAAACCTTCAGCAGTGATGCGACGTGTATAGTACAGAGCGAGGTCAACTGTGGTCCATAGTGGTTTGGATGAACGACCTTGATGAAGACATGCTTGGGGATTTCTCGCTAGAGTTCGTCGTAAATGGGCGCCACACAGATCGCTTTGTACAGAGCTGTCGCTGCAGACTTGGACGTTGACAAATTATCCGACGGAGACTTGCGCTGCCCCTCGCGATGGTGATGGTAACACGGGCTTCGTTTGGCAGCGATTGCGCAAAACGTCAGCGGAATGGCAGTGTCAATAAAGCGTAGAGAAATCCCGGGTGTCAGCATCGAACAGTTTTCTGCTGCAGCAGCGTTGGACCCTTTTAGCGACGCAGACGGGGGGCGTCGCTATGATCAATCGTGCACTAGTCGCGGATAAGCAACTGGAGTCGGGGAAATTGGGACGCGCCTGTTAAAGCACGAGCTAGACTTTGTCTCGTAAGGCTGGCGTTGAGCGTCTGCAACGAAAGACGACACCTCAAGATGGGACTGGTCGGGAAGTCATCTATCTCACTACTTGGGCGCTGCGTGCTTTCAAGCGTCAGGGATCAACGACACATTGGCGCTCAATGCACGATTTGTTCGACAACCGCAAGAGGGCGGAGGGAAAAGAAAAACAGTCCAGACCCTGTGAGACATGCCAGCGATAAGGAGCCGAGCGGTTTTCAGCTCGTCTTGGAGGATGCATGATTCTGGTCGTCGTGGAACGAACCATACGAGGACGGCGCTACACGGGGGTGATGGGGGTGGAACAGCTGCAAAAGAACCAGGGGAAAGACTGGGATTTAGCCATTGGCTTTTCTCTCGGCGCCATGGATTGGGGTCCAGATTCTTGTAGATGGCGCCATACTCGATGCCTGTTGGATGAATGGACCGTTAGGCCAAAATGCCCCCGTCCAATATGGCCCAATATGGGTGCGCCAGGAGGATTCGCCCTGTAAGGCCCCTAGGCTGCTTGATCCATCGCTATTTGTCACCTGCAGCGGCCCTTGCCAAGGATCTCCGGACAAGTGGTGTTCCATCTCCTTTGTGAATTGTCCGAGAACCGCCTGAGACGTCAGCACCAGCCTGCACCTTATTCGGAATGGCATGTGTCTGCATGTGTTTTGTTGTTCCCATTGAGTAGCCTCATCGCTCCTCCTCGTACTCGTAGAACCGCATTTCACAGGTGGCACGTTTCCTCGCTGCAGGAATTGGGGTCCAAAACCCTCAAGCCCTATACATCGGCCACAATCCGACAGTGTTCCCTTCGACTATGGTAAAGCCACCCTCCTGGCTCGGTGTTTTTCCTGGTCTGTCCAACAGATGTCTGCGATATATCTGGCATACCCCAGGGCCAGCGTAATAAGAGGCCAACCGGACTACGCGTAGGAAAGGCCGCAGAGTCAGGGTGCCGCTTGCGCTTGATGTTCGAGGATGTTTCATCCTTTAAAGTGCTGGTCGGCCAGGGTTGTGTTTGGGTCGGCGCGTGTCTATTGGCCAAAGGGTATCATCCTTCATTCCCTTTGTAAAATGACCATCAGGCCCATCATTCCTAGCATAACCGTCTTCAACCAAGGGTGTTCGCTGAGCATGATGGTCACGTAGCCAACTGCTGGCACATATCCGCGCACGCTGCCAATAATATCCTCTTTTCTATCCAGGTAACTCTGACCCCGCGCATAGAGCTCTGTGTCGTCGGCGACGTTGTTGTCGCCTTTTGTGAGGAGTTTTGGAGACGCGTTCGAGAGGTTACCACTGAGACCACGGACGTGTTAGCCAGAGTTGTTCAATCTTCAAGGAGTAGCCGGGTGTCTGTACCTTTTATCCACTTCGACAGCCGCTGCAGGTGCGTGACTTCGGACAACGCGGTGGACAATTGGAATGTCCTTGCCCTTCACATTGTAGACGACTATTTCTCCCACCTCGGCCGTTTTATCTCGGTTCCAGAGAAACAGTAAATCACCTCTTTGAAACGCAGGTTCCATCGATCCACTCAGAACTACCACGATAGGCGAGGGCGAGTCTGCAATAACGGACAGCGACTTCCATAGCATGAACGCAGTCGACAGGACGAGGGCAAAATTCAGCACCTGCGACAGCGACTGACGAGGGTTGGAGAGGTAGGGGGCGAGAAAGGGTAGCATGGTGACGGACTGTTGGAGGCTAGATTTGCGAGGAAACGTTCAAAGTAGGAAGTTTGACATCTATGTGAAGAAAGGGTGTCCAGATAGAGAGATCAACAAGTAATGGTAGCCTCGTCCGCATGTAGAGGATCATTGTAATGGCTCAAAGACCAGGTGGCAGAAGCTCGGGCAATAATCCCGCCGGGGTTCACCCGCCGGATCTCTCAAAATATCGACCCACAGCAGGCTACTCTCGTTTTCCATTTTCAGTACCGATCAATAGATTCTATAAGTGCTCCTGATCGACATCCAGATTACTATCGACTCGATATTGCCCAAACCCAGCCCGTCAATCGGTTCGCAATGTCACTGGCGTAGCAATTTGTCGAGTATCCTCCGTTGTCCAGGTCACCACTCTCTGCAATTGACCCAGTGTTTTCCTGTCGAGCAGGCCGATAGTATGCCCTGGCGTCCTGTCCCCATACGTGATTGAGTATGCCATCGAGCCCATCCCCACTCAAAGTCCCAGCAACACCGTCAAGGACCATCCCGTCGATCTCAAAGGCGGGACACTGAGTCTGGATGTTTACATTGATATTACAAAGAGAAGCTGCCGTCATGGGTCTGCATCAACCCTGGGTTGCGCACACCGTTCTCGGTCGTGCGGACTCGAACGCAGCCGTTGGATTCCTGAAGAAGGATTGCCAGGATGAAGCGGTGGTCAACATTGGTTAGGGATGAAGCTGACAGGACTGCATCCCAGATCTGGCTGATTTCTGCATCGCCGTTGTCAGGCCCATTGTCAGGTCCCAGATTGACGCACGACACCCGCATAAAGTCCTCGTTCGCGACGAACCTGCTCAGATATCAGTCGAGTGGACAAAAGATGTTCTGTAGCCCTCACATGTCCTCAATGAGACCCATTGCGCCATTTCTGGCCAGCCAGATGATGTTGAGCCATCACCAGAATAGGTTCTGTAGGCGTCGCTCCCTGCACCAACACCATCGTGGACATTGGCTGGACGATTGGCAGGGCCCAGAGCATACACTTGGTTCGATGCGCGGTGGAAGAGAGGAGTAGGACTGACAAGCTCGAGGAAGGTGGCTGCACTCAAAAGCTGCGATTGCGTTAGTTGGAAGCCCGAGACTGCTGAAAATGGGTCGACTCACGGTCAGGTACATCGTTGCGAGCCACTGAAAATCCTCCTTGCCAAAAACAAAAGGCACACAATAACGGGACTCGGTGCTTCCTGGTGCTAATATCTCTTTAAAGACGCAAATCCTTGGTAGCTGCGAAGTTCATGAGAAAACCAAACTCGATATCCTGTCTTCACAACACTCATAAACCCCCTCTGCCCGTGACATCTCCACCCAAGATACCAACACACCCTGTTCTCAGCAGCCATAAAATCGTATTGGAGTGCATAAATGGGTATTTGCCAAATTGTCAAGCACTGTCGCAGGAATACCTATATACATCCTGCAAACCTCACGCAAAGAAAATTGGCGGCTCGCCTCGCAGCGCTCTATATCGATTCGTTGCGGCTTCAAGGCGAAAAGCGCCTTTGACCAGAAAAGGCCAGTCGTCTGCAAAGCCCCGAGTGACCTCCCAACTCTCTACGACATCCGGCTCGCCCCAAAGCACGCAACCATGTCTCAGAGCAAGGTCAATCTCATGCCAGGTATGCCTACCAGCAATCGCCATACATAATCTCCCCTCCAGTGGATGTTTTTCGATATACCAGTGCTCTATAGCATTGTCCCTCACAACGGGGTCAGGGAATATATCAAAGCATGGGTGGTGCGACACGGTTCGTTGGAGGTATGTCGGCTGGAAATCCGGTGGCAGCGTGGAGATGTCAATTTGACCAGTGACAAAAGGGCTGTCCGAAGCCCAGGAGGACATAAAGTGTATTTCCATATTCAAGGCTCTGATGTTTCTAGCCAGTCCACGGAAAACGTTGTAGTACATCAGGTTGAGAAGCTGATCTTCTGGGTTGGGGATGAAGGTGTGATAGCGGATGTCCATGGTATAGATGAGGGTTTCTTCGAACACGACAGGATCCGAATCTGTCACCGCGGCATCTTCATCACTGAACTCGACGCCAATAGAGCCGGCGCCCAACATCGACTCTTCGAATCTTCGACACCATGACTGCACGAGCTTGAGATTGATCTGATGACCCCTTGACAGGGTTGACGATTCAAATGACATGGTTTTGTTGGCTCCTGTGGAAAGCTTTCCAGCTGCAGATACCAAGGAGTTTAGGGAGATTGGTTCATCTGATGTCACGCTGTCCTTCTCTGCGAGGGCGAAGACGCCAACCCCAGGGATTCTGGGCGCTCGATGATGACGGCCTTTTTGGGATTCCGGGCCAGCCTCAGTCATTGTCCTCTCCCGAAGCAGCTTTTGTTCAACCTGGCGCTTCCCTATATTCCTCAATTAGTCGATGATTTTCGGGTCAGGTGGTGGGAACCAACGATAAGCTCGTCTATTCAGTCGGTTTTGTAATCGGCGTCGCTCTTTGATATCTGTCTTGCCTGCCCACAGCTCATCTATGCTCCGTGCCATCGGATGGCTCAGAAGAGTGACATCAAAGAAGCCATCGTCTTCTGTAGGGGTCATGGCTGTCAACAATCTCCCCTCTTCCGCTACCTCAAGAGCTATCCGCGAGTTGATCGGAGGAACTGTCCTGGCAACCCAGGTGGTTTGACAGGTAGAGAATGCCTAAATGACTTAAAAAGGCTCACGATCCAGAGACGGTGCAAAGATGGAGGAAAGACCTCTAGTTGGAATGAGTGGCATATCTGCCAAATTTGATGATTACTATTCACGGTTTTGGCTGACAGGGGGCGACTGCCAGACAGGAGTGCGTGGCAACGAACGTAGACGCATTACTACCGCCCGCGGACAGATGGAAAACACTCCAAATTGAGGATTTGAGTTGTGGATAAGTCCAGCTTGATTCCAGTGATCATGCTCGTAGAGTCGATGGCTTCCACATGGCTGGATAGCGGAAGGGGACCTGTCCAAAATGTAAGCTGGAACATGGTTCCGAGATCATTTGCGGGGACATTAGTGGAGAGAGCTGCTTTGTGCATCTCATACATTTAAAAAAAGCTCCACTTGGAAAGAATCGTCCAGCTTAGGAAACATTTGTGAGGTGGAACCGAAGACCTCAGCAAGTGCCTGCGGGTTTGTTGGACATGATATTTTCTTTTGTTTTTGTCAGACGGACATATTTTCAGAGGAATTTGCCTTTAGTCGCCAAACTGGCGCTGTATCCTAGAGAATTCTGTCCACGTGAGATTAAAATGACGCATCGTGGCAGCCTGACTTTCTTTCTGCGGTTTCCAATTCATTCCTTTCCTTGTGAGGTTACAACTTGCCAAACACTTGGAAGTCATGAAACTTTGGGCCGGACTCAACATCTCACTTGAATATCTTGACCTTCAATAGTTCTGCCAGTCCCAACTTGGTGAGAAAGGTCTCCCTCACAAGATCACGCACGCCATTGACGATGGTTGCACCACCTCCGTCGAACTCAACATGCACTCTAAACGGCCGCTTACCATGTTCTGTATCAACCACGCGGCGAACAGCTTCAGCAACAGCTCCAGGATCGGCATCAGGTGAAACTATGTTGCCATGACCTTCGGCACAGATCCGATCCCATCCTTTTAGAGCGCCTTCCATATACCCATGCTCGACTGCCGCATCTCCGGCCTTCATGGCTGTGGCGAAATGATTGGTGCCCTTTGTAAAGACGCCGGGAACGACTATCGATGTTTCAATACCGAACGGGGTCAGTTCCGCGGCATAGGTCTGTGCGAGGGAGTCTTGGGCAGCCTTTGCCGCAAAATATGGTCCTAGAAACGGAGAGCTCGGCCCATGAGCACTGCTGGATGATATCCACACAAGCAGTCCAGTTCTGGCCTGTCTCATATGGGGCAGGACGATTCGATTGATGCGTTGACAAGACAGACAATTGACGTCGTACATCTCCATGAATTGTTCTGGCGTATATGCCTCGGCGGGACCAAAGTTCATGTGTCCTGAGAGAAATCGTCAATGCTTGTGCGAGTCACTTCTCTTGAAGTATCGAAGCTGGCGCCTACCGGCATTGTGGACAACAACGTCTATCCTCCCCTCATCGGCCATGATCTTGTCGACCGCTCTCTTGATCGAGTCGTCCTTGACGACATTGAGCTGTATGCCTCGAAGCTGACAGTTATTATCTCTGGCAAAATTTGCAGCGTCCCTGTACACGGAAGATTTGTCGTCTTTGGACTGGAGAAAGCCAGCATATACAGTATGACCCGATCTGGCGAGCGCACGCGCTGTCAAGGCTCCAAATCCCGAACCAGCCCCAGTAACCAAGCTCACAAGAGGTCGCGCAGTCATCTTCTGCTCAGGTTTTGTGTTCGAAAGTTTAACTGGCAAGGTAAATGGACCAGATCCAAACAACGAACATGCTCAAACCTCTTATATCTGCCAGAGGTGTACTGGTGACGAGGTCGCCATTCCACGCAGTCAGGTGCCTTGAGTATCAATACCACACCTTCCTTCATTCTATGGAGGATACCAACCACGGGCTTAAGGGTCTGTATCATCTCAACCCTAGGAACATCGTTGCACAATTCAAACCCATCTGGGTGCCCATGTACGAGCGGAATGAATAGTCAGCATACAGCGGAAGAATATTATACCCGTTGGTGCCGTTTGAAGAGGCATAACTCCAGAGAGAATGACATCAGTGGCGACATTGGCAGCCTAAGATTGGCTGTTCCGGTATATCCCCGGAGACATCATGTCTTTTTCTCTCGACATTAGTCGGTCTTTGCGGAGAACAGGTCTTTCCCAAAAGGGCAGCTTCTCCTCCGCTGGCAAGGCTTTATCGCTATGTGCGGCCGCAAGCCACGACGCCAAGCCCCAAGGGAACGCCAAAGTCCATCTGGTCGAACTCACTTCGCGCGATCTCTGTCAAAGGCTTGATTTTGATGCCGCAGTCCATGGTTATTCAGAATCTTCAGCCGGAATTACCGGCGTCATCTCGTCCTTGTGTATCAAACCACAATTCCGTACAAACCATGCCATCGCAAGGGGGTCGATTTCTATATCAAGGGGTGAGAGAGCCCAGTCTTCGAGCAAGTCTTTCTCTCCATCAACCACTGCAACAAGTTCCATGAAACAGTTCAAGGCAATCATCACCAGACACAAGTCCAATAAGACCACATCCTCTTCCCAGCAAGGCACTCCAAGCACTACTACACCCACGACACAAGCGCCAACCGCATCCAAACCCATCGCTATGTCTTCCGCTCCTCTCTCAGGCAAAGTCGCCGTCATCACCGGTGGCACAAAGGGCATTGGCGCAAGCACTGCAACGCTCCTAGTCAAACTCGGAGCCAAAGTCGTCGTCAACTATGGCCGCGACACAGCGGCAGCGGAGAAGATCGTCTCGCAACTCGGCAGCGACAATGCTTACGCGGTCCAAGCCGACGCAGGGACGGTAGCCGGCGTCGAACAGTTGGTGAAGGCCACGGTAGAGAAGTTCGGGAAGATCGACATCCTGGTCCCTAATGCGGGGATCCTGCCCATGAAGACGGTCGAATCGTGTACAGAAGAGGACTTCGACCGGACATTCAACCTCAACGTCAAGGGACCTTTCTTCCTCGTTCAAAAGGCTCTGCCGCACATGGCGCCGGGAAGCAGCATCGTGCTGATATCCACGACCCTTTGCCACGCCTCGACCGTCAACGGACCTTACACGCTGTACTGCTCGACGAAGGGCGCCATCGAACAACTGACGCGCCTCCTCTCCAAGGACCTGCTCTCCAGGAAAGGCATCCGAGTGAACGCCATTGCCCCGGGCCCGACAGCGACCGATCTCTTCCTGGAGGGCAAGAGCGAGCAGGTGCTCAAGACTCTAGCGAGCTTCCACCCGGCTAACCGAATCGGCAAGCCCGAGGAGATTGCGCAGGCGATCGCTTTCCTGTGCGGCGAGGGCGCCGAGTGGGTGAGCGGGCAGACGATCCGGGTGAACGGCGGTATGGCCTGATCGTTGGAAGAAGGACATTATTTCTTTTCAGTGGGCAAAGCGGAGGAGTAATGAGAGCATCTAGCAATTTTCTATCCGGGTGCAGGTGAACAGGTCTACAAGTATATAATGTTGGAGATATACATCTGCCGTCTATTCCTTTCTTCTCCTGAAGCCTCTTTTCACGAACAATTCCTTTCTAGTTTTTTTCTTATTCAATGGTCTTGATCATCTATCCATCTCAAAGTCCCCTCAGATATCCTCAACGGCCCACTTCAGCGATAAAAGCATAAAGATAATTTCGTCCGTTGCCCGTCAACTCGTCGCTTGCATCTTCCAAAACCCCTCCCCGAATTTCGCTGGCCACACGCACCCACCCTCCACCAAAAACAACTTGACAAGTTCATCAATACTCTAAAAGGCTGCGGGGATTTGTTGGACAGGTACATTGGATAGATGGGATGGGCAGATGGATTACCGAGTATAGTTGGATAGATATGGTGATTGACGGGCAGAATTCCGTCCGACGACACACCCGCGATGACGATGTCGCATAGTATGGTACGGTACGCATAGTACGAGCTATTGGATGCGTAGACGGTACGCTCTATGCGTCGTGCCCCGTTGAAAATAGATTTATTTATTTATCCATGTAGCAAAAAAACAAGGGGAGTTAGAGTAAGCAGTATACCGTAGAGAACGGACCGTGTTTTCCCAGACCGATCTCACATGGCAGTCATTCTCTCCCCGATGGCGATATAAAGAATGACAAGGTCAACAATATCAATGAAAAATCACACGCTAAATCGTCAACGAGACAGATCCCTAGGATAGGATAGGACCGTGCCAGCTAGCTGCTTCGTCCAGTACACAAACACCAATGCGACAGGCTCGTAAAGGAAAAAAGATTGCGAATTCCCATCATTCCCGTCCATACATAACCACGTTGTCAAGGGGCTGACTGGGCCTGTTTTTCAATTTCTCCGAAATTATAGCTCGACGACAAGTTCGTTGTTCATCCTCGCTTTCCCGGCCCGGCCTGCTTCGAAGCGAACGCATCCCGGATCTTCTTGGCCTGCAATTCCTTCTCCCTCTCGAATTTCTGCTGGTTCGTCTCGGCCCGTTCTTTCCTTTCGCGCTCCCGCCGGGGATCGACTCCCGGGGGCGCAGCGCATATCGGGTTGACCTGGGGGCCCAGAGCGGCGGACGGCGGTTCGACGGTACTGCGGAGCATGGCGTCCCAGTGGTGGTCTCTGTCTTCTTGACGGGTACTGTCCGTGTCATTGGCCGTTACTTTGTCGACAATGTAGAATGTTTCGGGAAAAGTCTGAGTGCCGTCATCATAGTACCATCGCAAGGAGATGTGAGAAGTGGAGACATGACCCGTTCCCGTGTGATCGGTCAAAGTGGTTGGTGTGTTGGGGCGAATGGCACCGCGGGTCGCCACCGCTTTGCTCTTTGAAATGATGCTCTTGGGCAAAGTACTGTCGTAAAGGGCATTGCTCAGCTTGACAGGATGCTCCTGGCCCTCGGCGATGACGAAGATGCACACTTTCGAATTCATAGCCTAAGCCACCGGGTGTCAGCAAGTGCAGAAGACAGCATCAACATGTGCTCGGTTAGTAGCGAGAAACCCGTACCATTGGTGAAGTCCTGTTGGATGGACGAAATAATTGCGGACGACGAGCTTGCCACGAGCGATATGAAGACTCGAGCTGATGGGAATCCTGCATAAGAGCGGTCGAGATCGGGCGATTGCGCCCTGTGGCCATGCCTCAAAAAGGGCAGACGGCCGAGCAGTGAGGCAAATACAGGGCAAACAAGCCGGCAGCAACTGAAACTGCGCAACAGGGAGACAAACTTCGTGCCCAAGCCCGGATTGAAATGCCCGTGTGTTGGCAGACTAGCATTGGAGGATGCTTCGTCTTTCATATATCCAGGGAGAGGATTTGTTCAGGTACACCTTTTGCCAACGGTACATCCCTGTCGAGCGAAAGACTTCAAGTGATGACATTTTGCTGCACTCCGGCGTGCTGGTCACCTGGGACTGTCGGGGTGGACCATGAACGCTAGATTTGTCACTTTAGAATGCGGAGGTTGAGAACAAGCCACAAAGAACAATTGACAGGTTGAACAAGACTCTGGAAGATACCAAACTGAATAGTCCATTCTCGGATCCGCTGTGGCGGCTTCCGCCATGTCCTGATGACCATATCCGTACAAAATTAACGTCGTTGGCCGTCTGGCAATGTTTCGATGACTTGGGGACTTTTCACTCAACCAGCTGTGTAACAAATTTGTCTTCAGTAGCCCGTCACCCAAACGCCTCCCTCGGTCCGAATCCAGATTTCGGGGGGCTTTTGTCACACGATATCGCTTCAGAAGCTCCGTGGCGAGCAGGTCCCTTCCCAGAAATTAACCTCTGTGTCTCATCTTTTGGTGGTACATTCATCGTATTATTCCCTTCATAAGTCGGACGTTTGCGCTCGCCCTTGATCCGGTTGGTGTGCTTTTGTTGTGAGAATAATTGATTCGGTGCCCCGATACTATGGTGCAATTGCAAAACACTTCACGAAACCCACTGTACTTTTGAGAGCTTCCTACCCTGCGGCCTCTTTTCTTCGGTTGAGCTCGACCAAGGTGATGAATTCATCCCAGTTCTCCTCGATCCAGGGTCGGCCGAGGATACAGTCGAATTTGGCTTCGGATTCTGGTGGTAGAACATAAAACGGCGCACGATGGGACGGCGAACTCCGATCGGCTTCGGAACTGTAACGCTGGAAATGCCACTGAAGGACGACGGTGCTGCTGAGATCGGTGTATCCACCAATCGAATGCACGCGGCCACTGTATGGCTGCTTGGTTAGGTCGAGCTCCGTGTGAGCGTCGTCAGAGATCAGGTTGAAATCGGCCCCGGTGTCCAGCAACACTCTTCGCGGAGTCGTCGTCGTCGACGGTTGATGACCCGACCGTGAATTCTTCTTTGGCTCAAGGTGGATGAACATGAGAACCACAAAGAGATTGAGACGCCTCCGTCTTTCTTCCATCAACATGACTTTTCCATGGTGTTTGGGCGGGCCACTGCTGGCACAATCTGCTGTCCGGCTCGGCTTTTCTTCCTTTCCTTGGAACAGAGGCTGAATTATAGAATCTCGCAGCCGGTCAAGAACGGGGGCTTTGGCCACACCCTTGGAATCCGGGACGGCGCGAAGTAACTTGGACATCCTTTCGGGCGAATGCTTCCTCCAGGTGACTAGGGTCATCCTGCCATCCACAAAGTCAGTAATCCTCTTATTCGGCTGGGACACGTGGATGCCTTTTCATACTGGTACGTCCTTTCTCGGCGATGCCTTCTCACTCTTACCCAACCGTCTCAGAGTCCGCGGGTCATTCACACTGCGCGAAGAGAGCTTTTAAGCCACCAGCACACGGAAAAGGTTACCAACAAAGACAGACCAGTCTGCCATCTTAAATAACACCAAATGGCAGTGAAGCCACTTTGGGAACGGCATGGTCTCTGCTTGGATCGTGTCGTTGTACAGGGTCGGGCCCGTCCTTCGGGCAAGCTGCAATATGGCAACATGTGACAAACTCCTCCAAACACGACGAGAACCCTTATCCCGCATACAGGGCTGCAGCTGTGGGCCTCCGAACCTCTTGAGACATGTCGACTTCTTGACAAAAACCAGGCTTATTCCATGTGCAAAGCACGACAGCTTTGGAGGGCTCGGGAGTACCTCCCAATACCGTGGGTCAGTGTCACAACAGGAGGCGTGTCTTTGCAACAGTAGCACCATGGTTTGGAGGATGAAAGAGAATGAATCGACGATTGCCAACGGAAGCACCAGTAACTATTTCGGGACCACATTCGGTAAGGGAAGTTGCAGCATTGAGTTTTGCCGCACCGAACGAGCCCGAGACCTTGTCAGACTTCCGAAGGATGAATAGTGCGGTGCAAGTCTTGTCTCAAATTTACAAATGCCCTGATATTCAGGGACTTCTGGAATGTAGAGCTGGAGGGAGTGGTTCCTAGATACCTTATGAGATATGTTGCAACTAAGCTGGTAAATGCGTGATGAGTTTGCCGTAAAGATAAAGAGCACGTGCTTCCAAGGCTGTCGCCACGTATGTCGGACTGGCAGCACGGGCGATCTTCACGTAGTTTCCGAACGCAGGGATGGCCGGGCTCGTAATATGCGTTGGCCGCGAGGAAAATGGCCAAACAGAGAGCATTTCCAGAGTGGCATTGCGCGCTCGTTCTCTATTGGAAGCTCTCATCAGTGGACGGTTGGAAGGGAGGCCTCTTGGGCAGCGATGCAGGTAGATGGAAGGCCCCTCGGTGAGCGCCCCACTGATGAGAAGTTGCGGTTGTGTTGGACAAGTTAGTCTGTGAGTCCTCATTATAAGCAGTCACCCGCCCGCTGTCCTCCCACAAAAGACATACCCCTGATCTCTATCACCTTCGCGGAAGCCGCCGACGAGATCGCTGCGTTACGAAAATGACGGGTTACGGAGCTTTGGCAGCCATGATGGCCAGCCATCAGAATATCGAAGCTTTCCGAAAATTCTCCAGCATGAACCTCGAGAATATCTTGCACATGCAAGCCGAGCTGCAGCATCTCGAAGTGGTTATTAATGAGGTGCGAAAGATACCAGGCATGAACAGCTTCGACCGGATCTGGATCGATAATCCCGAAAGCATGTCTGAAGAGGACATACATCGGATTTTTGAGCGGTCAAGGACCCTGCTGGACCAGTATTGTAGGAAGCGTGGCTCTGACACCAATGAATGGGAACAGGCCGCTGACACGGTGGGGCAGACCGAGCTCTATTGAGAACAGCAAGAATCAACGCGTTGCAGCAACCGCGAAAGGACAATCTCGAGCTCCGCAGGCAGTGGTATGACGAAGAAAGTGGTGGCGACCAGTTCTTGTATGGAGTGGAAGCGGGCATCTTCCGAGACGCCAGCGTTGAGGAAGACCTGTTGACGCTGAACGAAAACATTGGAAGCAAAGATGCTCTAGCCAACTTTTTGAGTGAAAGAGTGGTGCCGCTATATCACCGGGCAGTAGGATATAGACTTCACCGGTCTATGGCAGAAAAGGCGTTTGAGAGAACGTGGGAGTACAGGCCAGAAACGCTGGTGCAGGTTGGGAATACGATATGTATGCTGTTGTCAGCCGTGATTCCGGCCTTGTCAATCCTGGTGTTGTTCAGTGTGAAAAGCATGGCCGCACGCCTGGTTGCAATCAGCATGATGAGCTTGGTGTTTTCATTGGTGATGAACGTGATTGCTCAGAGACGAGCCGACGTCTTTATGTCCACCACAGCATTTGCGGCAGTGTTGGTGGTGTTTGTAGGCTCAGCAAACGTGATGGGTGGTTGACAGTGGATCGGGAAGAGGTATACAAGGGAATGCAGAAAACCCCCGAGCGGTTGCACCGTGACACCTTGACCGAGGCCAGGGCCTGGTTTGAACCATGCTGTTATCGACCTCGGTCACACTGAGGCTGCTGTGGGAGTTGGAAAATGCAGTTGCGCAGGCTCAAATGCAATTGTTGGGGTGCAGGACAGGCAAAAGGACGACAGGTAATCTTCAGTTGGCCCCATTGTTTGTTTGGTTTTCTTTCCCCCACAGAGCACAGCACTCGGTATCATCAATGTTCATTGAACCTGAAAACGCTTGAGGTGGAATGGGCCGGAGATGATTCGCGTCGGTCTGGCAAGGTGTGATGACGTTGGGCTGAGGCTTCAGAAATGAAGCGAGAGGAAAGTAACAAAAGACCCTGAAAAGAGACCCGCAGGGAGCTAAAGACGCCGAGTTGACTGTGATAGGTTTTCTCGGTGCCGTATTTTCTTTATTCCGCAGGGCGGGTCCTTCTTCGGCTTGGCGCCATCGAGGGAGCTCGGATCCAGGTGACAAGGGCCAATTGAGAGGCAGAAACAGCAGCAGCACAAGTCGTAGCGTAGTGGGCTACCTAGAGTTAGTGCCTTTGCCCATCACGAACTTCGGAAGTCCAGGGGAGGAGGGCCCAGGAGGCCCTACGGAGAGAGGGGGATTAGAGAGCCGCAGCTCCTGTGCCTGCTGCTTGCGCACTTCCCCAACCTCCTCTGCTCGGAGCTCCCTCGCCCCCTTTGCCCCTCGCCTGTTCTCTCTGCCTCTTCACGCTTCCCAGCTCTTGTCCCTCCCACTTTTTCCCAGCTCAGGTGCTGTCGTGCTGTGCCGGAACTGCTGCTCCTCAGCCAAAAAAGCTGACTTTCTCCTCTCCTCCTCTCCAGCTTTCTGGAGCTTCCCTCTTTGTCAAGCAAGGTCAAGCGGCACGCCAAACCACTGGGCCGAACATCTCTATGCACTATGATGCGCACACTTCGGGCTCTCTCTTTTCCCAGCCCCCGGAAGCCCTGAAGCCCGCCTCTTGCCTCTCCCCGATTTCTCTCCTCTCCCCTCTGTTCAGTCCCCTGAGCTGCTGACTAGTGCGAACCTGGGACATGGACTCTGGGCCCTGACGTTTGCCCACAGCTACCCCCCAGAGGTCTCCCAAGTTTCTCAGCCGTAGTCCGCACGCTCACCCCCTACCTCGACCACGCACCTCTCCTCCCTTTCTTAATTCCCTCCCATAGCTTTCTTTCTCTCGTGCTTCTATCCTTTTTCCATCTCTCCTAGACCTCCTTCCATCTTGTTTCATCTATAAGTCCACATCCAAGCATTCCTTACACCATGGTCCCCACCAGAAGCCGACCTGGCGACGAAGAAGAGGAAGAACTCGAGCTCCCCGAGGACGACGATGAAGAAGAAGAGGAGTAAGTTTCGTCTTTTCTGTTCTCATTTCTTGATTGCTCCTGCTTGAACTCCCCGACACGGGATAGAACCAACAATCTGAAGCATTCTTGGTTGTCTTGATGCCGTGTCTGGCTTGATCATTGTGCGCGGCTCAAGTCAAGGTCGCTCAAGCATCCTCTCCTAATCCTTGCTCTTCCTTCATCCTCAAGCTGCGCGCCCCTTTCTGCTGGTATCGGTTCTCGCAATTGATGGCGCTAATGCATTTTGCTCCTGGGCAGATATGAAGACGACGATGACGAGGATGACGAGGACGGAGATGAAGAGGAAGAGGAAGATGAAGACGTAGAGGGCGAAGAGGAGGAGGAAGAACAAGGTAAATCCTGACCTTTGATCGGTCCAAAATGGGCTCTGTTACCGTCTCAACTGGATCGCTAATCGACTCATTGACATAGCTCCTCCTCCAAAAAAGCGAAAGGCTGAAGCCGAACCCGTTGAACCCGCACCCAAGAAATCCAAGCCTACCGCCCAGGAAGAACAAGAAGAGGAGGAGGAGGATGAGGAGGACGGCGAGGATGCGCCCGAAGACGACGCTGACGAGCCAGAACAAGAAGAGGATGAGCCCGCGGTCAAGACCAAAGCTATTTCGGGCTCCGAGACCAAACAAGCTGCGGCCACTGCCACTGCCGAAAATGAGGAGCTCGACGACGAAGAATAGTCATCGACCGTTCTCGTGGGTGGCAGAAGTGAACGTTGGCAAGAAAGATAGAACCAGGCAAAATTTTCTCCAACGCAGAGACAATATCTCTCCCGCACCCACCGCCGCGGGGAAAATGCCCCTGTTGCCCCTGTCGAATAATCCCTCTGGTCGACGTGTTCATCTGTTTCGCGTGATAAATTTCCCCTCGCTTGTGTTTTGAAAGTCGTGCCTACGAATGGCACTGGAGACTTTGACCGTAGTCCTCTCCTTGTCGATGGGGTGGTCACTTCAGATATAGAATTGGTCGACGGCTTCAGTTGGAGGTTACAACCCTTTCTACAATAGCTCATTGTTAGCCATTATTGAGATCAATCAGCTTGCCGCTTGCCTTCTGCCTGACCTGTTTCGGCTCGGGACATCCGGCTCGTCCGCATTGCACCAGAGCTCTCTCAACCAATTTCTACCCAACACCGCTGCAGGGATGTGTTATGCTCGCTCTGGCCTCGGTTTCGTGAATGGAATCGTCCTCAAGCTTGCCAGGCAATCTGGCACGCTTGGCTGTTTCGACAATCCGCAATTGACCAGGCACCGAATCTGAGGTACCAAGTACCTACCAAGAACAAGCACGCTTACTACACCCACTGATGCAAATGGCTTATATGCAGGGCGATTACCTTGTGGGTAACAGCCTTTGAGGAACCTGCCCCTTACAGCCTCTTCCAGCCAAGAGCATCAAAAATCGCCCGCCCAAGGGAAAATTCATGCTCGAGCTTCAAGCGACATGACATCCTGTACCGGATTTCGGTCTTTGGCAGGCTGAGCAACATACCATGTGGTGCGGCCGCTACCATCAGCTGAGTCGACTCATGACATCCAGCAGGCCTATACCCTTGAGCTCTATGAAGCAGATGTGGCAAACTACGGTATCACTTCTCGATGCCATGCTCTGCTGCCTTGGACTGCCACCTTTTTCTTGGCTGTACGGAGGGAAACAAATGGGACTCTAAAAGCCGAGAAATACAAAGGTGACAGGCTCACAGTATAAAGATGTGACGTACGCACGGTCAGCTAAACTGTGTCAGAGGTATCTCAAAGTAATCACCATTCACCCAACAAGCCAGCCTCGGTCACCCTATTGTCAGGTACAATATCCCGCTACATCAATCGAGACTGGAAAACATTTCAAGGACAATGACAAGCCCCAAGGTCTGGTTCATCACCGGGTGCAGCAGTGGGTTCGGTCAAGAGCTCGTACTTGCGGCGTTGAGACGAGGTGACAGAGTCATTGCAACTGCTCGCAATGCCAGCAAGCTCGACGACCTCAAAGCTGCTGGGGCCACGACGATGAACTGGGATGTTACGGCGCCTCTAGAGAATCTCAAGAAGGCAGCTGAACAGGCACACGGAGTTTACGGACGTTTTGACTACCTGATCAACAACGCAGGTTACAGTCAAGTCGGGGGAATAGAGGAATCCACGTAAGTGCTTCTTTCGACACTCTGCTTTGAGAGGGATACTTAGATGGGCCCAGTCCGGAACAGACTTATGCACAATTCGCCACCAACGTGTTTGGGCTGTTGAACACCACCCGGGCCATCGTTCCGTACATGCGAGCACAACGGTCGGGAGTTGTGGCCAACTTTTCCAGCGTCGCTGCGTGGACGGGCTACGCAGGCGTTGGGCTCTATTGTGCTTCCAAGTCGGCGGCCAGTGCTCTCTCGGAGACTCTCTACTATGAACTGGCCGATTTCAACATCAAAGTGTGCACCATCGAGCCTGGATATTTCCGCTCCAAATTTCTCGCTGCCGGCAACAAGCTCAAGAGAGAGAATGCGATTGCTGACTACGAAGGTACGGCCGTGCGCAAAGGGGAGGAATTGATGGATGCATTCGACAACAGGCAGCCAGGTGACATCAAGAAGGGCGTCAAGGTCATTGTTGATGTCCTGACGGGCGAGACGGGCAAGGAGATTCCAATGCGGTTGGTGCTGGGACCCGACGCGTATGGATTGATCAAGACCCAGTGCGAGGAGACTGTCAAAGACCTGGAGGGATGGAAGGAATTGACATGCTCGACCGACCTCGACGAGCAGTAACCGCAAGTCCATCTGGAGGGCACGCACGAGCAGTGGTGGGTGGTCAAAGGAATGCTTGACACCAGCAATTGAGCCCGGGGGCATCTTATCACACTCTCCATGAAGGGTTCTACACCAACAGGTTCTTGATCCCTTTTTGCTTGACGCATGCAGCCTTGCATCCCTCTACCCTCTGTTACATTGACATTGGGCTGCTGTCTCGGGTGGTGGACATCTTGCTAAAGGCAATGGGCGGTACAAATAAGACATCGACTTTCCTATGCCAATACGCCAAACATCAAGTTGTCTCGTCAAAGGGACGTGGTTGCTCGACGTCGATTCCTTTACTTTTCTTTCTGTCTTGGACCTTCAGATCGAGCTCTGGCTGGCAGCTGTTGTTAGAATAAGAAACCATCTACAGCAGGTCCAGAACTAGGTATCCTCCTTTCCACTTTCACAATTATATCCAGGGCGGTTGTGTTGACGGTTCGTCTTCCGTCTTCTGTGCTCTTCTCTGAAGTGAACCTACCCGTCCTTTCCCCTTGCCTCTAGTGCCTCACCTCACCTCGTCTCGCCTTGCCTTTAGTTTCCGTTCTCCTTGCTGCCTTTGTCCCTACCTACCTCCCTACTATGGAACAGAATACTCGTCATACAATTACCTCGACCCCACCTCTCTCTCGACCTGGAATAGTCCCAACTTCAGGACGGACCAAAACCTGGGAAAGGAAAGAAGTGGCTGGAGATGCGAGAACTCGGTGCCTCGTATCCATCCTCGTTCCCATGATTAGTCGAGTCTGGGTCGCCCCTGAGGATCCCTCTCGTGTAGGTGAGTATGTACTCGTATCCACCCTCCCTTAGGTATCTGATCCTTTTCCACGCTTTACCAAATCCATATTACCCTCGCGTGTGCCAATGGAGTAATAAATGGAGTGGGGATGCTAAAGTGATAAAAATAAATCTTTTGCTCCTTGGGGTCCCCCTGCTCTGCTATCCTATCCCAACACGGCAAAAACGCTTCGAATCCTACGCAAGGCTCCCTTCCTTCCTTCGCGTGCTCGATCCTCGTTACCAGTACTTGTACAGTAGTAATTCCCCACCACGGGGCTAATAATCCCCTGCTTGGGCCTGTTCCTTTATTCCCCTAGGCTGTTTCGTCCTCGCCATTACCTACTTGTACGTTGTGTGTGAGAGAACTTGCGTTTCAGCCAGGCATCCAGGCAAGCAAGCAAGCGATCTCTCGTCTCGTCTCGTGTTGTTCTCGACTCGACTCGTCTCTTCGTCCTCCCCTCCCACCCGTACTCTATTCCCTATTGAGAAGGAGTATCATGTCCTCTTTCGCAATCGTTTTGGGGGCCCTCTCATCCCTTTCGCTCCACACCACATCCCTCGCACCAGGGTTTTTGTTTTTCTTTTCGGTCGCGAAAAGTCTTGATGAGAAATTTCATCCCGCGTCACACTACCTCATACTTGCTACTGCTACTACTCCTCAAGGCGAAAGTGATGTGATGCAAGGGACGCGTAACCTTTGTTGACTACTATTACTCAACCCTCCTCCCCAGCGGACGAGTTACCGAACACCGAGCACCGAGTACACTACCGTGATGCCCATGGGTACGAGTTAGAGTAGTGCCTACGAGTAGGTATGCAACTTGAATGTAGGTACAGTAGCTCTGCGTTGTTCGGTCATTTCTTTTTGTCCCCTTGTCCCCTTGTCTCGTGTGCCCGTGTGCCCGATCGTCGATCATCCCCTGCATCTCCAGCACGAGTTCAGTACCAACCTCTCTGTAACTACTCGTCTGCAGGGGGGTACCGTAGAGAAGGGAAACCCCCTACCTCTCTCCTTGTAATTCCCGAGCGATGGGACATGGGCCAGGGTCAGAGGAAGGAGGAGGATAGAGTACTAAGCAGCCCCTGTACCTTGTACCTACATAGTACCTCGAAGTTGACGAACTTTGATGGTGGTTTGGACAGGAAGTTTACATACGGACTATGTGCACATGCATACAAGCAACCAAGAAGGCACACGATTCCGAGTACCCTCGTACACCGCAGAACATACGAATGTACAGAAGGTACCTACCTACCTACTCACCTGGGTAAGTGAGTATGAACATATCCTCGCTACCTTCCATGTGGTGCGTAGGTACAATCACTTCTGCATCGAGAGACCGAGTACAGTACCTGGCTACCTGGCTACCTACAGAAATCTACGGAACATCTCTAATGTACCGAGTATGTTTGTAGCATACTCGACAACCCCGTACCGCAGTTCCCAAATATAGCCCATTCTTTCCCACAACCTCCACCTCCACCTCCACTTCCACCTCGACTTCAACCCACCTGATATCAGCGCCTGACGCCGCTTTGCGCTACGATACATCCCCCCCAACCCCTCTTTTGTGTTTTATGCCCATGGCAGGATCTCACCCAAACACCCCCACTATACCCGTTTTCAACGCTAGAAATCTGACAATTACACCCTGGACCTCGGATGACCTTGCCTTGGAATTCCCCATCCGAATTGTCCACTTACCTTCAGTACTACCTATCTATAATATCCATGCAGAATGCAGATACAAAGACGGCTTCTTTCAAATACTCGGCATAATATCACAAATCGCGCCGGGTCGCTACTCGTAGGTGGGCATCTCATTAGTGTACTTGCGGTGCACCTCGTACTTATCTGGGCAGAACATTTACACCCACAACACCCTCTGGCCTCTGGTGCTACCTCTTCTCTCACGACAAACACAGTCATGCTCGTATACCTTCCACCCATACTCGTACCTACCTACAGAACCGATGATTGCCATCCTCATCGTCCATCGCCTATACCTGAACTGGAGCTCCCCTCCTCCCTGTCATCCCCCCAGTCCTCACTTGTCACCTCTTTGGTCCGGTCAATGGCCGTGAGGATTGCTACCCGTACCGTAGTCTGCCCGTCTCCCCGTCCTCCACTGCTTATGGCGTTTTGTTTTGTTGCTAATAATAATGATAACCACGAATCCTCCCACACTCTAGCAAAATAGTCCAGTAATACCTCGTACTGTGCCTCGGTACAGTATGTATGTGTGCCATCCCCTCTCTTCTCCTCTTCCCCTTCCCCCCTGCTGTTCTACTCGCGCCGTCCATCTGCATCTGCAAGAAACCGTAATGGCGTTGTTGTCACTAGCTAGCTAGAGCGCAACCTCGCGCAATGACTGGGCAACGTCGCTCTCAAACCTTGTCCCGCCCAATCACCATATGTGCCAATGTATCGGAACACATTACCTGCAGGACAAAGGGGTGCGGCCCGCAACCCTCCGTTTGAAAAAGATTGCCATATATAGACGGGATGAGCACACCCACTCGTGGACTGCACGATATGCATGAATATAGCTAGCGCAAACTTGAGAGCCTTGTCAGTGACTTCATCCATGGGCAAGTGTCACCTTTTACCTTGTTCCATCACTTCTGGCATTTTTTCTCACCAAAGGTTTGCCACGTACTAGAACGTCAAATGCCATCGTGTTTGCTTACTTATTGTCAGAATGCCGAGGGGCCCGTCAAAAGCTTCTGTGTGCGTCGTCTCTTCGGGGCTGTGCTTGAAAGTCACCTTTTCCGCCATCTCTCCAGCGCTTTCCGACGGGAAGGAGAGGCATCCCACACCCTGTAGTATCTTCCCGACCTTGAGCACCTGTCGTCCCCCTCGTGCCGCACCTACTCCGCTCGTGAGCCAGTGGCAGATATCGTAACCAGGAAAATCGAACATGCAGCGCCGTCTTTGAGCGATCGCCACATGGTCGTAAACCTTGCCCTGCACGACCTAAAGTAAGGCGACCACACCGGCGGACGATACTCCTCAACATGGTCGAGCAGTCCCTCTCCTGCCAAGGCAAGCCTTGCTCCACGAGGCTGAATGGTCCGACAATCCCCACTTGGCCACCCTCATTGCAGCGCGCTATACTTCCTCTTCTGCACCCATTGAACCTTCTTTCTTCCTCCACGATCAAATCCTATCTCCACATCTGCAAAGGAGCTGTTTAACTTGACCGAGTAGGTAGGTAGGGAGAACGGACACCCTGGTCAGCATTAGCTCAACCCTACCAAGACGGCATCAGAAAAGAGACCGCGAGTTGGTTGTGCATGCGTGCAAAGCTCATCTCAACCTCGTGTCTACAGTAGGTAGTGTCCAGTCCTAAAATTAGAAGCCTATCGCCTTGCACTCAGTTTTCACCATGGAACACGGGATGAGGCGCTGCTTCGTCTCGTCCATCATCGTTCTCGAACGCAGGCGAGCGACAGAGTAAACGGCGGAGAGCGGTGGACGTTCATGCAACAATGCAAGGTTTGAAAGTGGCAAATTTGCCCATGCAGGGGCAGCAGACGACGCGTATCTCATCCTTTCTATTTTTGCCCTCTCTTCGGTTTCGGATCCTGACATCCGTCCTCGAAGTGTGAAGGATGAAGACTGGTTGTGGTGAAAGGATGAGACTAAAAGGGATGGGAGAATAGCGCAGGACGGCGTCACGTGTAGTTGCCTGGCAGCTCTTGCCGCAGTGTCCCGATCTTCTGGAAGCGCAACGACGTAAAAATTAATGGAATCTATGTATGTGCTGTGTATATGCTGTGTGGTGCTGACAACAAACCACTCACCAAAATCAAGACCAGTTTCCCAGGAGATCATGACAGAAACGACCGTCAGTGCAGAGTAATGCCAAACCCAACCCAAGCCTTCATGAATGTGCCCTGCCCTTCGTAAATTGCGACCGGTAGCCCTCCCACCTTCTTGTGCTGTAGACGGACTCCTGAATAGTAGCAGGGATAGCATGTACTTTTCCCCTCGCGCCCATTTCCTCTCCGCGCATTTCCCAGCACCCGTCTAGAACCCGCCAAAAGAACTGGTCGTCATGTTCAAAATTACAAACTTCGTCTCGTCGTCACCTGTCATTCCCCATTTTGTGTAATGCGAGAGTGGCCGGATTGTCGGTTCAAGGTGTATTCACTGGAAAGAATTGTCCAAGTAAGAAACGCTGAAGGCC